CGCCGCCACGGATTTTTGACTGGGGGGGACGGACTGACCGACTGAAAACCCAAAAGTAGGCATTCTTACCGTGGCTTTTTTGGTCCGATGCATTCAAAGTTTAAAGCAAATATGCCACTTTTACCATTGGGTTTTGAACTGAAATAACAGTTTTGTAGCCTGAGCTGAGACGAGAACAAATCAGGAGCTTTTATGGCTCAACGATCACCCTAGCCAAATATATCGGTATCGATTTGGGTTTGAGGGAAGTAGTTTAGGCATTTCCTTTAGGTAATGGCTGTAGACCGAATTCCCACCGAGTACCTACCTATATACACATCTGTTGTCCGATTCAATTTTGACGTGGCAAAGCCTCTAGTGCCTCATCATCAGGGTATAATTGCTGATGTATGCCACTAATCTGATCGGTAATACATATTGCATAGGTAATGCATATTGCATAGGTACCCTCGTGGGGGAGGAGGCGTTGTATACTTACAATCTCTCTGTCTGGGTTGTGCATGAATCGGCGCGAAGCGCCGCGAAAATTGGCAAAAAAACATCAGGCAAAACTGCTCTAGAATACGAATTTTGCAGCCGTTTAACAAGCTTGATACCAGAAAACCTTAGGTCAGGTCACCAAGTCAAGAAGTCAAGTCGCCTCAAAGTTTTATGGCCCTGTCAACGGTATAGCTTATTTCCTAGAAGCTGAAAATTTAGTGTAGTGTGACTGCAGAACTGTGGGGTCGGAGCCGGAATCAGTCGGAGTTGACAGTTTTGGCCAGAGTCGGAGTCTTGAGTCGGAGTCTTCGAAATTGTTCAGATTTTGACTCCGAGGTCGGATTGGTTTAAAGTCATGCTCTTGGCTGGTTAGACGAAATATACTATGCCCGTTTTCGGCCAGTCGTGTTATACGACACACGTTGATCACGATATCAAAAATCGGCAGTTCCGCGACGACAGGTCGGATAAGAGCTGGAGATTTTGTTGGGCGAGGTGGCAGGGGTCAGACCAATGCATGTAGGCCCATACCACACATACTGAGTATCTAAACCTCCTGGACCCTCTCAGATTCGGCACCGTTCCATCGCTTCCATCCTCAGGACAGTCAAATCCTTCTCCTCCACGCTGGCTGCGATCCCCTGCTCCGGGCTGGACGGGCAACTCTATCCCATGCGGGAATGACTCCACTGGAGCTATAGTCCGTTGCCGGGTACAGTGAGTGCCAGTGGGCTGCCTGTTCAATTGGTCGAGTTCAGCCCAAGTGGCTCACTGGGGTGGCTGCCCAGACCAATTTCTCCCACTAATTCTCTCATCCTTCCGGCTCTGAAATGGTCTCATTGGACCGAAGGGCCTAATCAAATTTCGAGTAGGAAAACAACCAGTAAAACGCCTTTTGGGGCGACAACGGAGCGAGCGAGGGGGTGGGACTTTCACCGGAAATTGCGAGGGAGTACCTCCAACCAACTTGTGCACTGCACCCTACTAACCGGTTTCTAACGATGTGCCAAATTTGAGCGCAATCGGCCTAGCCGTTCTCGAGATCTGTAAGCGGCACCCTGCACGTGCGCACGTGCAAAATGTGTCCCAACTGACTTTTGCACGGCACCCTAATAACCGGTCCCTAACCATGTATCAACATTCAGCACAATCGGTTCAGCCGTTCTCGAGATCTGGAATCGACCCCTGCACGTGCGCACGTGCAGAAGCACCCCAACTGTGGCACATGGTCATGGATATGCATTGCCTGGTGGGTGCCTACCTACCTACATGCCAACTTTCAGCGCAATCGGCCCAGTATGTTACCGAGATACCTATTGCAATTGTTACAAAACTGACACCTCTTCGTTTTTCACGTGGCGGGTGCATAATGGGTCACCCACATGCATCGAGAATAGTTCAATACTTGCTAGAAGGAATGAAGCTACCCTACAAAAATTACCGTAATTAAATCAGTCAAGTGGTTCCTGAGACATAAGTCTCGCAAAAGCGTGACCACGGCCGGCCGGCCGCTCGTACTCAGAAATTTCCCGAAAGACTACGCTCGCTTCGCTCGCTCCGTAATGAGTTTGGGGGGGACGTCCCCCTTCCATTCTGAGAGTGGGGGGGACGCGTCCCCCCCGTCCCCCCCGGTGGCGGCGCCCATGCTGCCTGGCTATAGTGGAGTCGATTTCCTTTTAAGGAAAAATATTTGATCAAAATACATAAAAGTTTGGTTACCTCATATATAAGACAGCATTTGGACTGGCCGGTGGTGAGAGCCCGGGATCAAGTCGCTACGGCGCTCGGTATTTGAAACTTCTGACGGGGACCCCGGGTTGGTCTGCGGTTGGTGGGAGCAGCCGCAGCCAGTTGAGTCAGCTGAGTGGGACAGGCCATGTCCGGCTTTCATGGGCACGTTAACCCTCGCATGTGTAGGGGGGGGGGGTCGGATGGACCCCCCCATGGTTTTTCGCGAATAACTCGCGTAAAAAGCAGCCGATCGCGACGAAACTTTCAGTACCCTCACATTGATCAATTTTACACATACCCTGAAAATTTCATGACCCTGACCCAAATGACCTTTGACCTGTGACCTCTTTTCCGAGACTATGCTTGGCCGGAATCGCGATTCTGCGTATATCGGCTCGCATTAGCCGCGCGTTTGCAAGCTTTTCGTGGTTTCAAACGTTCAAACATGTGATTTGATGTTGCTTCCATGCATTAGGGTGGGTGTCAAGGTCACCTGAAGGTCAGGTCAGTTCATTGACCTTTAGTGACCTCGGGTGACCTCGATTCACTTTTTCGAGCTGTACATGTTTCTAGGCTAGTTTTTGGAGCTGAATTCGATATTGGCAACCTTTTGAACATTTACGAAGTAGTTTCGGTGCCTTCGTAACATGTAACGAAGCTGTCGGAGGCGGTTGACACGTACTACGAATACCCGTCACGACGCCTACTGGTTGACCTGACCTGACCTGACCTGACCTGGTCTAAATGCTTAAAGACATCATCTGTTATCAAAACTAACACGATATTCGTGATCAGCACCCCGAAAAACCCCTTAGAAGCCACACTTTACGACTTTCTAACAGGTCCCGATTTTCCCGACTTTGGGTCATTGACCTGACCTGGAAGGTCAACCAATAACTTAGGACCTTAAAATTGGGTATCATCGGCTTCCTCTCGTCACGGGCAACACGCTCGTTTTTTCCGCGAAGCTCTAGCTCGATCAGGGGCCAAACGGCAAGGGGGGGTCCAACCGACCCCCCCCCCCCTACACATTAGAAGCTGGCAAACGCCGCACACCTGCGAGGGTTAAACTTTGGCATCTAAGGTCTCCCGTTACGCGGAATTGCGCGATCGGACGGTAGGGGTCGTTGACAGCGATAGCAAAGCTCAGTTTGTTACGTTCTCCGGCTATGTCAATACGCCCATTGACACATTCGGCCTAAATTTATATAAAAATACAGGGTGATCCAAAAAAATTAGAACCCCTAACTTAAAATGTCTTAAAGTCAGAAATTTTTCACTTTATTGACAAATTGCAAGCACCATTAGAAAGAGCGTTCAATTATCTATAAAACCACGTTGATTGAACCTAATTATTATTATAAATATTGCCCTAGACATATGCCTATAAAATTTGTGTCACGAAACTCAGTGAAACGGTTTTGAACATTATGCGCAAATTAGTGATTGACGGTTTGCTGTTCTGACTGGTTCTGACTATGTCTCTTGGTTCATGAATAAAAGTAGCTCATTTACGTGCTATTGTAAGGAAATGAAAGGCTGACGGCCTGCTGGGACCAGTTGTCCCAGAGACTGCTGGTCCGCGCAGTCGGAGCTGTCCCTAAGCAACTGCAGGCCTGCGTGACGGCCCACGGAGCTCGCGTTGAGCACATGCTGGGATGAACAATGGAAGCCAGGACCGTGTATCTGTTCTACTGTGTGCTTCTGTGTAAACTTTTATGAAATAAAATTGAATTTGGATGTGGTGTTATTCGCAAAAAGACAACAGATAGGGTGCTAACGGATTTCATCGCATCGTTAACATTTGGCGATTTCGTTTCACTCAGTTTTCTGACGCTAATTCCAAAAGCTAATAGTGTGCCAATGCTTTACAACATCCATGTACCAATTTGACGTGATTTTATAGAGGATTTAATGTTCTTTCTAATGGTGTTCGCAATTAGTCAATAAAGTGGATATTTTCGGACTTATAGACATTTTAAGTTAGGGGTTCCAAATTTTTTGGATCACCCTGTATATCGTGATAGCCGGTCCCGTAGCTCAGTTGGTAGGGCGTTGGACTCCGCGTGGTGAGAGCACACGTTCCCGGTTACAACAGTCCGGGTTCGAAGCGCGACGGGCGCTTGACATTTATGGGCCTCCTGACAGGTATGGTTGCAGTTGGTGGCAGGCCGTAGCCAGGTGAAGTCAGTGAGGGGACCGGCCGTGCGCGGCTATGTGCGCACGTTAAACTTTGGACTCTAAATTCTGCCATAGAACTGGAATTGCGCGATCGGAGGGTAGAGGGCGGGGTCACCGCAACAAGCTTCGCTTAGCGGTGGCTCTGTCCTTGTGAATCCTTCCCATCAAAAGGTTCGGACTAAAATTAAAAAAAAGATAGAGTCACCGCGCGCTGGTTTGCAAACACTGCTTTCTAGTCGATCAGCTGTCATCATCAGTGATTAGCAGAGAAACGTAAATATCGTTTTTTCCAGCTTATGGGGCGGATCGCCCCTCTTTTTACCTCCTAAGCCTGGACTAAGAAGGAAGGGAAGGTTTTCTTTTTCCACCGTCTGTCGTTAGAAGCATTGACGGGAAGGCGTCATTTCCTCACCTCACTGATGGTCATTTGTGTTAATACCGGTACCATGCCACTGCCGTCTCCCCGAGGCTCCGCCCACCGTCTTGGCGCCCGGTCATCCCGACCGGCCAATCCTATTGTTAGACACAATGCCGGGGGCGGAGCCTGCCACCAAGACAAAAGCCCATTGGATTACGACTTTGTTCCGCGGCCGGAATCGATAAGAATTGCCCGTCGGCGCCGGGACAGACGGCCGTAAGGGCGCAGTTACCGTGCTGGGGACTGGCACTTTGAGCCGTGTCGGTGTGCGGTGGCGGCGCGGTCTGGGCTGAAGACGGTGGCGAGAGCTGTATTCCGACAGACGACACGGCGCCGACCGGACGGGCTCGCCTCCCACCCGCCGACCTGTCGTCCGCCGCGCCCCGTCCGCTGTTCCGTAGTACGACGGTCCGCCCGCGGGCTCTCCGGCGACCCGCCGAGGTCCTCCGCTGACACGGGTCTTCAGACGGGTGCAGCTGCTGAGCGGAAACGGCGGTGTTTTTGAGCAGCTGAGCGGCCGCAGTGAACATTACAAAGTGTTGGGATTCCTACTGGACTCGAGCCGTTTATAAGAAGAGACTTGAGAGACTCACTGGCTCCATACGAACTATTTTTTAAGGAAACAGGACGTTTGTTCGGTTACGAAATCATCGCCACCTCCGTCAGCGGCAGGGAGACAACCAGAAACTCTGAGTGGTCCCCTCGGTGGTCTCCAGTCTCCCAGCTCCTACACTCGTCAGCATGGACGGAGCCGCGGCCGACACCCACATCAAGCGTCCCATGAACGCGTTCATGGTCTGGTCGCGCGGCCAGAGGCGCAAGATGTCCCAGGACAACCCCCGCATGCACAACTCTGAGATCTCCAAGCGACTCGGCGCAGAGTGGAAGATGCTGACCGAAGAGGAGAAGAGGCCGTTCATCGATGAAGCCAAGCGCCTCAGGTAAGGTGACAGTGGTGGGGGTGGTAATAAGTTAACAGGTGTTTAAGGTAGGGAAGAATGGGTAAAGGCGCCGTACTCATCTGTACGATACCTGACAGGTGAATGAATAAGAATCTCATCCAACTTCCACACACTTGTCATCGCACTAAAACTAGCCTTTGCATTGGCCGTATAAAATCGGACCTTTTTCATTCATAAAACCACAGATAACAGTAGTACTACTGTTATCTGTGATAAAACGTATAGTAATTAAAGCATCGCCGTTTTAACGTTGCAGCAACAAATAGTTAAATATTACTTGGTATTTACCGGTAGGCTGAATGGCTTCAAGAATTACTTTTTCATCATCAATTTTGCATAACCTTCTCTAACTTTCAAAAAGAAAATAAATTCGCCCGGGGCCCGAATGTCGCTGTGGGATAATTTGTCCGGGGATAGCGTGCCAGCTCGGCTTATGTGTTTTGAGCCAAACTCATTGTCGCATCTGTGGTTCGCAATAATGGTTCCAAGCGAAATGGTGTTTGATTGGTGGCGTATGGGACTTTTTATTAGGAGGAGGAGTTTAAAAAACGAGCCTCTACCATTGGGTCTTTGACCTGACCTCAGAGGTAACCGGTTGACCTGAGACCTTAAAATTGGGTGCCATTCACTGCGTGGTGCGCCATGCAATGGTGAACGCGTTTTTCTTTTATTCCGTGCAGCTAATAGCGCAGTTTATAGGGGCGAAACGACGAAAGGACTGGAGTTTCAACCCCTCTTATTTCGCTCACTGTATCATTTTCATGGAATGGACAAAAACATTTCTTCATAGGTATATCGTTATATTTCCGTTATCTAAGGTAATAATTTCAGCAGCCTCTAACTGGTTTATGTGCACTATATCTGGTAAAAACAATACAATATATGGCAATACGATGAGTGACGCCCGAGTTTCTAAGCCGAATACGGTCACCGATGCACCTTTTGCTATTTCCACCACAAACACTGCCCAACTGATGATTCGCACTGTTTGATGACGCACCGGGCACCGTCAAATGGGAACCAGATGAATCACTGATGTCCCGGCTGCACCTGCACGCGCCGAAGAGGACACACAACACATGCTTTGAGTAAGTAACCACACATTACACAGCGGTTTCTGTGAAAGAAAGCACGCAATACTGTCGGTTTCTCGATCACACAATAGCCACATAGACAATGACTGTCTTGACCTTTCTCGATACTTGGTCATTTGTCATTGGTCATTTATCGTGGGCAGAAATAGATAAGATGGAGCAGAGAACATCCATGTTCTTTGCTTTAGGGGAGTCGAGAACCCTGTTTTAGCTGTCTTTTTTTAATGATTTGTAAAGGACTGTGTGTTAATTGTCCCAGCGGGTGCATTGAGCTTGTGCTGTTTCCGTGGAAAGTCGCAGTTGACTAACGTAGACCGACTTAGCCTGGCGTCAACTGATTTAGATTGACGTGGACTGATTTAGACTAGCTTTGACTGGGGCGACGTCTGATTTACACTGACGTGGTCTGGCTTAGATTGACGTAGAGTGACTTAGATAATGACGACTGATAATGACGTAGACTGGTGTAACGTAAGCCGATATAAATGGTCAATAATTGAATGATGTAATGGTACATCGATTGATGTGGACTGATATAACCTGATGTGGTGTTGGCAGTGCAGCTTTAGTTACTGCATGTCGTCAATGACAGTAGGTATAAATGTAATATGATGCCTTACGCGAAATGAGTTACAAATTCTTTAAAGGGACCCTCCCACCTTAACATTAGATTTGAGTTGAGATAGCCAAAATGGGGTCCCTGGCTCACAATTACCGGTTTCGGCACTCACAACATCGCGAAATGCCTTAAATCGGAAATATTGAATTTCAAAATTGCAGCATTTTGATTCAGAGGGGCTAATGCATAGGAATACCCCTCTGAATGTGTGACGTCAGCGCAGATATCTAACGATTTTTAAATGTTTGACTAAAACGTTTTGTAGCACGCGGTGGTATATGCTGCTTTGCGCGCAACAAGTGCCGCACTTTCAGCTGCCAAACTATTGCTTCCAAATAAAGTCGCTAGGAACAGCGGAGATCCCAAAAAGTAAACAAAAGTAAAAGTCTAATATCTTGAAAACCGGTGATTATTTTTCGGTGAAATTTGGTAGATATTCGTTTTCGCTCTTTCTAACCGAGCGACATCACTTTCATGCCAATTCATAAACTTTTTTGAAGGTGGGAGGGTCCCTTTAAGACGACGGTTCGAATCGTAGGTATCGATGCAGAAGATGAAAGGACGTTAAATACAAACAAGGCAAAACAAAGCCGGATACTTCCTTCCGGTCTGCTCTCCGATGAATCACCGTAAGTCCCACACTGTAGAGCTATCAGACTCTCCATAATCCACCACTCAACATCTATTATACGTCAGCCGAGTGACACACGGCAAACCTTTGATATTTGAAGTGCTGTATTTAGCCGGAGCCAGACAGCTGATATGATGGTTGTTGCTCGAAGACAAAGGTGGATCCCGCCACCCTTCAGGGGTCCATTATCCTCTTCATTTCACGAGTGTCCGTAATGGCAGTTCGGTTGTGTGTAAACGACAATGGGGGCGATTGAATTTACTTAAACAATAGTGAGATAAGCTCTACCTGCTTCTCGGAAGAGCTTGAACGCTCTCTTTACACGGGCTCTGTTCGTAGTCCCTGCAATATAAACGCAGGCGGATCGAAAGGCGGTCTCGGACGCTACGGGGGGCATACCCTCCAAAACTAGCTCTCCAAATAAAAAGAAAACTCGGATTTCGCTCCCTTGCGTACCTACCGCCGTGCAGTTTAAAACAAACTTGCCGCGTTCTTGTACTCTTGCAGGACACTCTTGCAGGAACATTCTGGTAAACGATTCCATCAAATAAACGTTTCCATTACTTGAGATTAATTCAAATAGCATCCTGTGTTAAATACCATAGGCAACCTTCATAAGTCAACCATTGACTTATAATTGAGACTGGAGAGGTCACATGTGTAGCGGCTGTAGCCTGACCTCAGGCAACTCTTATGAAAAATATCCCAGCCCTACCGTTTGCGCTATGGAAAATTACTCTGGCCAGGCGAGGCTAAGGAACAAATCTCTTTTTTTATAGCGAGGATATTTTATATAATGAAAAGACTTTTGGAGAAATGTGAGGTAAGCCCCGCACACTATCTCAAATCACCTTTCTCGATACGCCCATCAATCAATGTATCATATTTATTTATGTTCTCGGCGTGCTGTTAAGCGTTCGTGCTCAGAGGCTTTAGCTGAAACTTCATTTCTGTTTTAGCCCAAGTGCTTTAGCTAAAACTTTATCGTTGCGAATTGTTCCACCCTCGGTGTGACAGCTTCGACAGGCCTCACTCTCTCAGCCCGCACCTATACGTATTTTTCTCCATCAATGTGCGGTGTCGACAGCTCGTGTCATTCCGTCGTGGCTCGATTGACAGATCTGTTTACCGAGCTGGCTGTTTGAGCGGGCGCCGAGCACCGAGCCGATAGAGCCGCGCAAACATGACATATGGCTCTGATTTCGGCCGGCTTGTTTTGCACAATCCCCGGAATTTATGATGCCGCGGAAGCCGTACAGGTTTAGATGCATTGTTAGATCGGCGACGATACTGTTTGGCAGGCGTGTGTGAGTGCGCTAAATCATGAAGATGATACTGTAGTTTTGTGACGTTTTCAGCGCGCAAGCGTAAAGCCTGCAGTCTTGAATAAAAGTCGCTGGTGGGCCCTATCGGGAGTTCCCGATAAGTCAGACAGATTTGTCTCACCATTGCTTTAGAATTTCAGATGTCAGGGATGATAACAACTGGGTGTCACGCGATGCAATTTTGACGGAAAGGGCCAACAATTTTTAGGTAACAACATGCCTTGGACAAATGCACGAGGTTATGCATTTTTCAGTTTTTCGTCACGTTATAGGTCGGGACGAAAGACCCTCCCCACGGTATAGGTGCCGTATCCACATGTCAAGAACGGCTGGACCGATTTCTCTGAAATTTGGCACACAACCACAGACCGGTTAATAGAGTGCCGTGCACATTGCTCAAGTCAGCTGGAAATGTCCCTGGAAAAAAAATATCACCGCAGTTCCGCACGTTCAGGGCTTACCATCTCGCTCGCTCCTCTGGCACCCCAAAGTTACGTACTCGTCAATATAACGAAAAAAAGCTCCAGTGCGGCCCGACCTGCAGTAACGTTTTCGAGAGGCTGATATCTCAGCAGCCACTGGGCCGCTTGGCATGCGGTCCGCTTTGTTAGGTAGCCTCATCCCAATTTAATCCCGAGTGTCGGTTTACCTACCTATCTAGTATTTTTAGACTCCAACGAGCCTAACCTAGTTAACTTCAACTGATGCCTTCGCTTAATTGTTGGCAATTTCGGATTAGCCATTGCCCTACCCTGCTATATACAAAAGCGTTTTTACATACATTTACATACTGCTTGTCGATAACGAATGAAGCGACGGCCGTTGTCCGCGGTAGTGGAACAGTAGGGTAGACCGGGGCAAGTCGCCCCGCCGAGGTAAAACGCCTCACCGATGTTTCTCGGAGCTGGCAGAGTTCTGGGGAAACATCATCTCTTCTATAAAACGTGCACTATATGATCATTATATGAGCAGACTGGAAAGAAATTGTGATGACTCTTTAGGGAGATATAGCCAAAAATGTGTTTTTGGAGTGATTTTTATGTTTTGTTGTCAGCTTATGTATCATGGCGTTCTTTTATGGTCCACATCAGGTTAACGACTTTTATATATTTTGAACAACTTTATCTAACGCTTTTAATGCCGGGTTGGTTTGTGTTAAATTATGCCTTGCTGGAGTGCAAGGCGTTGTTCTCTGACCGAACTACGTGATGGGGTAAAACGCCCCAGTAGGTCGCGGGGCAAAACGCCCCATGGGGCGTTTTACCTCATGTGTTATTCGGACTACCCGCTTCCTAATGTTCGGTAGCTGGCTAACAGTAAGTTTCAGTGCATTTATATGTACTTTTCTCTGCAACTAGATGGCAAAGGAAGTATTTTGTTAACATTTCCATTGCAATAATTTATTATTTGGCCTTATGAGGTAGGTGAAAAACCTGCTCATACAATAGTGTCATAGCTGAACACCTGATAGGATGGAAGGAGCTAACTTCAGTGCCGTGCTTCCCAAGGTCTAACAAACCTCTCGTATAAGATTAAAGTCAACTAGCATGTTTATTCTTTAATCTATAGTATGGGGCTTCTTGCCCCAGGCCGTGGGGCGTTTTGCCCTGGGGTTGGGGCAAAATGCCCCATTTGCAGTTGCTTCACAAATCACTTCCTAGCTAGGAGTCCGATCATAAGTGAATGAATTTGAGGGGTGGAATTTAAAGTAAAATGTCCAAAGAACGCATTGAGCACAAATTTGGACTTCCAGGTAATGTGGGACAAAAGTTAAGTACCAAAATAAATTATCTGGGGCGTCTTGCCCCAGGCTACCCTACATTCAGTGGCATTTCCTCTCATCCACAGGGCATTACATATGAAGGAGCATCCTGATTACAAGTACAAGCCTCGACGACGGCCGAAGCTGTCCGCGCCAGGGGTCAAGGTCGAGTCGAGGTCAGTTTCTGGGCCGCGGGTCAGCGGTGCTCGATATCCGACATCACAGTCTGGGGCGGCCACAAAGCCGCTATTGTTCTCTGTTTTGCAGCGCATCGTCTCGAGTGTGCGCAAACAGTAAAGGAAACCATTGATTGCCTTTTGATGACTCGAATGTCTGCTTGTTCTACTATCTGGTCTTTGTGTGTCTGTGCCCAAATCTACATAGACTTTGAATTTTGGTCAGTCATAAGAAGGTAAACCAGTGGTGTTATGTCTTCCTAGAACGATAGGGGCGTATTTACCGTCCGGCCCGCCCACCTGAGCCCGCCCCTCTCTGCCGGCAGGTTTCCGGTCGGGTTTCCGGAGCTGGACCGGGGTCCTTTCGCAGAGGTGGACCGGCCGGCGCCCTTCCCGCGGCCCTGGCTGCACGCCTGTGTGCCTCCAGAGCTGGAGCTGCTGCCGCGACCCGCGGCGCTGTTCGCCAAGCCCGGCCTGGAGCTGCCGCTGCTGCACGGCGCGCCCTGTCCGCCGCTGCGCGCGCCGCTCTTCGCCCCGCCCGTGTTCGATCCGCTGACGCTGCTCCGGTGGAGACTCGGCTCTGGTTTCCCACAGAGCCACCCGGCGGCGCGACTGGACACTGTGAGTTACGCACCGCCGCCGCCAGAGGCGCTGCCGCCGCGGTGGGAGAGAGCGGCCAGCCGCGAACAGTCGGAGGAAGAGGAGGAGATCGATGTGACGGACGTGGGAGGCGGCAGCGATGACCCCGTCGACCTGTCGACGTCAGCAGCAACGGGCCACGTGGTCTGAGGCAGCAGCAGAGCTTCGACGAGTATGAGTATGGAGGCAATTTTCTGAGGGGCGGGACCGTTTATGAGGGTCCCAGTTCGTCCTACCGCTAGCTTCTGCGGACGCTATGTGAGAGGATGTGCTGAGCATTTAGGCACAGGGTAGCCGCTTCTGCGACCTCCAGACATGTGATGACGATGTATGCGGGACGCGAGTTGTTTGCCGAGGAACGAGTAAGGAGGTTTGCCGGGAAACGAGTGCCGCGAATGAACGGCTCCCAAGGAACGCACTAACCAAGCCAAATATTGTTCCAATAAGCCGTTTTATCCAGGCAAAGTGAAGGAAGTAGCTTTCAGTACTCCATATTTGCTCGCTGGCATTTAACTGAGCATGCAGGTGGATCGCAAGGGTTGTTAACCCTGGAGGTGCTAAGCCATCTTGAGCCGGCACGTCGCATTTCGCATAGTAAATGCTTTGCAGTTCGTACCCACATATCTGCAACATGGGAACAGTATTTAGTACCAGCGTCAATGTCCTGCAGCTGGATGAACGACAATCGTTTGACACTAACGTCTAATACAGCTTGGATTCAGCGTGCCAATTCTGCAAAGTCGCTGGTGCTAATTCAGAAGCTGAAATGCAATCGTCCTGCTAGAACCACCGGATCATATACAGGCTTAGCTTAGCGCAAGCCATTGAGCTCTGTAGCTTCGCTGCCAATCCGCTAGCATAGTTAGGACTGTCTCCATAAGCGGTGTTGCAGCGATTGCTCGTTGTCGATTACGATAGTTGCAGTGCAATTGACCCCGTGCAATGTGTCCGTTTGAAGAACTGAACGATGTCTGTGCTGCAGTTGTTTGAAAATAAAACAGACGACGAACCACAAGTGGAAGCGTTACACCATAAATGCCTCTCAGTCACAACACAACGTTCTTTCACCGACCAGCAACTAGCCAAACAATGAACTTCCAATGTCACCCGCCGAGAGGCTGACAAGACACAACACTCAGATAGACAACAGACCGGACCCCCGCGGCCTGCTGTCCCTCAGTTCGGCCCGGGGCCGCTGTGACCTGTCCAATTACCATCAGCCCGTGACCTGCGGGGTCACCAGACTGTCCCCACACAGCGGGGTCCTTTGGAACGCGCGGCGGCCGGCAGAGGTGCTCTCAGTGGGAGGTCCATGTGTCATGGAACAGGTGTCAGAGGGCTGAAGGGGAACAGGTGGAGGGGTGTCGATTGTTCACATGCACAGTACACTGCTCACAGGAGTGGGGTGGACATTATGAGTCGGCCACAGTTACAACTTACAGCGCTGAGGAAATGAACGAAACGGCATTCTCTTCCTGATTTGCGAAGTGTTTGGGATAGTAACAGCGGATAAATAGTCCTGTGATAACAAGAAAACTTATCCGCTTTTACGATTCCCCCGTCAATATTAGGAGAACTAACGATCTTCTAGCAATAGTCACTAATCCATTCGTCCAATAAATTACAATTCGCTCACCTCCGCCTACCCAACACAGTCGGACGCTGAACACATTCCCCAAAAAGCCGTGTTTCTCTGTACGACAATGTATTTATTATGGACGGCCCGGCCGCCGCCGGGGCCCGTTTGCACTGAAATAGGCAGGCGGCGACCACTGGGTGGCACGCGCGGGATGAGGGATGACGCACTCGCTCCTGGCGCGGCGCCGGCTCAGAGGTAAAACACGACTGCCGCCGCGCCAGACGCGCCTGTAAAGGACGCACCGGCGACTCGACCACACATGCGCACAGACATACATACACACGGGCATATTCACACATGGGCGAGAGCAGTACATGGTATCGGTTTGCAAAAAGAGATAACGGCGACAACCGCACACACACTGTCTAAAACAACTTCACTCTGAGTGACCATCCACAGTTATCACCGGCCACCTAACTCGCACACACTCACAGGCTCACTCTCACCCACACCCGAGTGATAACTCTGGCAATGACTCGCTGTCGCGCAAATGACTACTACAATGAGTGGTGCTCGCACGCAATAAATACGCCCCTCCCGAGCACCGGCACGTGTGAGGCCCACTGGCGGCGCTCGTACCTCACAGTTCGCCCCTCCGCTGCCGCGTATATTGCTAAATGCCTGCTCCGGACGGTCCAACAGTCCAGCCCGCCGCGGTCGCTGTCCAGACGCACCTACATGTGCTTCACAGAGTGGAAGAACCAGTCGAGCTTGGTGGTCCACGCGCCGCCGTATGCCTCGTTGAACTGGTTTTGGAAGTACTGGAGTGCGTCCTTCTCGTCACTTTCCACTTGTAGCGTCTTCCGCAGGTAGTTGACGTCCTCAGCACACTGCCGGGGAGGGGGGGAGCATGTGAGGAATGAACGGTATGAACGCGCTCTTTGGCACCTACGAGGGGACTCGTGCTAATCACCGAGATGGCTGATACATACCGGGGTAAGCAGACTCATAGCGACGCGTCCGTTAAAGACTCACAGTCTGGTGCAGTGCGAGATGACGTGCAAACATACAAAGTGTTTCAAGAGCTGCTGAAATAGGCGTACATTTTCATCAGAAGGTACAGAAGCAATTCAAACCAGCAGAAGGCACAGAAGCAATTCAAACCAGCAGAACCACATTCAGTTCACCATCAATCCATGCCTCTTCATCATCGAGAAGTTCAATTGGGCAGGGCAGCTAGAATCATGGAACTGAGGACTGAGGAGCATGCAGGAAATAAAATCAAATTATTGAGTAAAAACTAAGGACGTCACACTGTGTACTGACGCTTGTCCAGCACACAAGATCCGACCACGCATCAGAATATCACCACCCACGAACTCCGCTCGCTCCGCTCTGATCCCATGTGGCACTGCCACCCACCTGCAGTTCGGTGATGCCCGTGGACAGCATCATGGTGAACAGGGTGATGAAGAGGTGGCTGTGCTTCCGCAGCGCCAGGTAGGCCTTGCCGCACAGCTCCTGGAAACTGGTCAGTCGGACAGACAGTCAGAAACGCAACCAGATGTTAGCACACATCACACTGAGGACGAAGCTTACGTATGATTCCACTGTCGCCCACCTTAAAGTAGTGTCACATCTCCAACTGAAAATACTTTCAGTCTCAACAAACTGCAATCGATAGTCACGACGTTCCAAAAAGTATAAACTACAAACTGAAAGCACATTAAAGCTAATATACCTTTCCTGTTCAAGACCCGCCTCACCAGCCCTCCCGCACCCGTAAAGACCCCGCAATTCGCTCCGTTGACCCATCAGGAGCCTCCTAACCCCTCCGAGACACCGGTGCGCCACTCACGCCTGGAAGGCCTTGCTCTTCTTGGGGTTGTCGGCGCCGCCGGCGATCACCCTCAGGAAGTCGTCCGTCAGCACGAATGGCACGCGCTCGCGACTGATACCGAACTTCTTCTTGAAGTGCCCCAGGAAGTGGCCGAAGTCTATGTGGAAGATCTGAGGGTGGGGCGGTGGAGGGCAAATAGTCAGCTACTGGGAGCGCAGCTGGCAAACTGACAATGGCTGCCTGACCACCGCGCCGGCTATTAATTACCTACCTTTGCCTACACTGCCAGCACTTAACTGTACACAGACCACCAGCCGGCTAATAATCTCCTCCATATATTTCTCAATACACATTAAGAGTTGTTGTTGTTACCCCCTCACCACACAAAAGTGTCCCATCTCACTTCCCCCCGTTCCAACAAAACCATCACCACCAGTCTCAACCCCCTTTACGCCCATCCCATCCTCCTCCAACCCGTCCCATCTCACCTGCCCGCGGTGGTTGACCATGATGTTATCCGGGTGCCTGTCTCCGATTCCCAGCACAAACGTGGCCACGCAGTAGCCGGCGCACGACCGTGTGAACGTGTCGACGGCGGCGTCATACAGGGCGCCCTGGTTCTGATCACGGATCCACTTGTGCAGCTGCGACGAGTCCACCTGGATGGCGGCCAGTTTGCTGGCCTCGCGCTGAATCCGGTACACCGTCTTGGCGTTACGCACCACCTCGATCATACCCATCTGGTGGCGAGAGGGAGGGGAGGGGAGTGAGGGAGAGCGGTGTCGGACACGAATGGAATTGAAAACATGTCCAATACAACATTTCTGACCAGCATGGCTTACAATTCGAAGCAAAGCGATTGCTTTTTTAAGTCGACACACTGACCGGTTTAACTCGGTATTTACTTATATTCAAGCATAATCCTTTTACACTAACACGATACCTAGCACGAAGCACACGATTGCCACGAAAGCTAAGTCAACAATCACCAATCACGCTGAGTAAATATGAAATGCGAGAATGTTCAATCGACCAGCACCTCTAGAAAATATGTCCACTACATTTGTTTTGATATCCGACCGGCAGCATCAACACCTATATTCTCCCGTGACCCGCTAAGTCCCTCTCGCGGCCAGTGCCCCAAAATTTATTGATTTGGGTGGGAAACGACATCCAAATGAAAATGATTTTCCACTCTCAGTCTCTCACCTCCAATTTTCAAGACCAATTTTCCACTCCCAATTCCACCAAGAAAGAGCAGGTTGCATAAATGGTTGTTTTGAATCCTCTATCTGCCACAATTAGTAGATAAATTTATGTTTTTGGTCCTTAGCCACCCTTTTTGGGCCTTATCTGACCAACAATTGTTCACTCTCATCCCCTTTTTTGTCAGCCATTTTCCCCTCTGACACCCAAGCAAAAATATAATTTTGGGACACTGCTCGCGGCCCCGATGTCCCCACGTGACCCGGGATCATACACGCGTCACCCACCATACTGCCGGTGGCGAGGCAGCTGTAGGGCATCATCCGCAGGTCGAGCCCCTCCTGGTCCCAGGTGTGGTCCATGATCTTGATCACCTGCAGGGTCAGCATGTCCTGCCGTAGGTCTGCCGGGCACCGGGGGGACGGGGGTGTCGTTGGTGGAATGAACGGTTAGGGCTGGGAAGGACGAACCAAACGAGGTTACGGTACTACAGGAAGATTTAACATTTTACAAAAACCAGCACAACAATGTTTGGATGAATCGCAACCACCTGCAAAAAACTAATAAAACTAATAAAAACTACGTCGGCTGAAAAAGTCATCGTGATTATACCATTGCATTACGTGAGATGAACAACAAAACATTGACAAACATAACATATCACACATAGCAACACAACGCCCCGCAGAATGACACCTATCGGCTACCACCCAAGTCGACCCCACCAGCCCAACCCCATACCTCCCGTGGTGCCCGCCACCGTACCGTCTCCATATTTGAAGATGATGGCGTTCTTTTCGACCTGCGCCCTGATGAGCTGGTCGTCGATATGCTGTACGGTCTGATCGGGGTTGGTCCACATGAGCCACAGCGGGCGCCGAGCCGACTCCATGATCCGAGACTCATCCACCTGGAGAGTGACGGGGTGGTAAGACGCTGGGTAGGTATGTGGTTGGTATCCGCTAAACGCTGGGCGTAGCTGGGGACGCGTGCAGTAGCCTGAGCTGTATGGTTGCAATGGGGGTTGATAAAGGATGCATTGGTCAGATTTAATGGCTCTGACTCAGAAGTCAGAACTTAGACGGGGCTTATGTTTTGGAAGAGCCTCCAGACGCATGTTGTATTTATCTGAGAATGCGTTCGTTTCGGTCAACGACTGGAGCTTATCGGTCATTGGACACTCATACCAGGATCAACAATAAAAAATGGGTTAAGAATTATAAGCACAAAACAAGGCTGATCTTGGGAGTCAATGAACTATGACAACCGGCCATCCTAGCCACTCCAGAACCAGCTGCTAGTTACAACCGTGCCACATCCCTCGTCACCCTGGACTGCCGGTGCCAGCCGTGCCAGACGACACTGTGACGTGAGCCGCGCCGTGTCTCACTCACCAGAATCTCTCCGAGCAACACCTGCGGTGATAGCGGCGACGGAATGTTCTGCAGACTCTCCAGGTAGTCAGTCTCCTTCATACGCTCACACAGGTGACGGTGGCGCTCCTGGCGGCAGGCAGGTGAAACGTGAGGAACGTATCACCCGGCGCGACGGAAAAGTAACATGGTGGAAGGCAGAGGATCGGTACTGCGTCTACTTTTTAATCCTACATCGGTATCTGACCAAGATATGCTGACAGGGCTTCATATGAACAGCTTGAGTTGATGTGAACAACTTCACATCATCAACAAACACTTCCAGCCGATTTATACGGCTGGTGTGTGCGAGGGTAAGGGGCAGTGCTTGATATGGCAGTGCAGTGTATGTGTCACTGATAATGTTTGAGGCTATGTTTGGTGTTTGGCACTGCAGGTCGACGCCCACGAGCAGTAAAAAAAAAACACCTACCTTCGGACCATCCTCCTTCCTGTCCTTGAGACTCTGTGATATCCGGAAGATCTTGTCGAGGCACTGCACTTTCTTGTTGAGCGTTTTGATGTGCTCCTTGCCGAGCCCACGGCAGAACGCCTCAAGGATGAGGTCAAACCGCTGACTCGTGCTAGCAGACTGATACTCGGTCCTGGAAAACAGCGGTAGGTGAGCAAATACGGTGACGACAGATAGGTATTTGGTTACGTATCGAGAACAGCTCTGCAGTGGGTATACATGGGCATTGAACAATCGCTGACGGTAAAAGCAAAAGCTGACGTAATTTAGCCTCCGGATTCGCTCACCGCAGGTGCCAGAAGAGGAAGTGTCCGATGTTTTTGTTTCGCAGCGCCCGGTCCAGGATGAACCTGGTCAGCTCGTTGTCCAGGTGCAGCTCGTGATGGAGCGCGTGCACCAGTTGGATCAGGTACTGGCCACGATAGAAAAACAAGTTATGCACGCGCAGTTTGGCATGCAGACACACACTAGACAGCACATATATCGCAACACAGAATAATTATATATCAGCATATTTCGAGAACCAAACTTCTAGAAAACTGCGAAGAAAATCAAGACTATCAATTCTTAGCCACATAATCTATTCACGTACTCACAAAGTCGTCTCTTCTCTCACACGTGAACAGTCACGGAGACTCACTCAGCTGTGAGAGCTTGTCGTAGTTGGGCAACAGACACCGGACTGTCTCACACTCACCTGTGAGAGCTTGTCGTCGGTGGGCAGCAGACACTGGACTGTCTCACACTCACCTGTGGGATCACACTCACCTGTGAGAGCTTGTCGGTGAGCAACAGACACCGGACTGTCTCACACTCACCTGTGAGAGCTCGTCAGTGAGCAACAGACACCGGACTGTCTCACACTCACCTGTGAGAGTTTGTCGTCGGTGAGCAGTTCGTTGAGACAGCGGACGGCGAAGTCCCGCACCTTCTGGTCCCTGTGGTTACAGCTGAGCAGCTCCAGTGCCACCTCGACGTTCACACATGGCCAGTCGCGCAGCAGAAGGTGAAACTGAGAGCCGATATTTCGGACAGTTAGATAACTGCACAATCAGGAGAGATTGCTAGCTGTGCAAGTTCCACACACGGCCAGTCGCGCAGCAGAGGGTGAAACTGCACAGGGTGACCGGTGAGCCATTGGAAGGTCTGCAACGACTTGGGAATGGGAGAGATTACATTTATACACTATTACAGTGATAATTAAGTCCTGTTTAGAAGTTCAAACATGAACTAGTGTTGAGTCAAACTATGTACTGGAATTGTGAGACCACCCTGCGATCCTGCTGTGGTCGGGATCGCCCTGTGATAACGACCAGCCGACTCTCACCCTGGCCACGTCGGTCCGCGACTCCCATTTGACGGCGTCGAGCAGCTTGGGCAGGGCGTTGGGCACCTGACTGCAGCAGTAGCGCCGGTAGCAGCTCAGCAGCTCGGCGTCCTGCATGGCGATGTCGGAGAGCGGGTCCCGGCCGGCCACCTCGCGGATCTTCTCCGAGATCAGACCGGTGATCTGCCGAGAGGGAGGTGTCAGGGCGCTGAGGACTGGGCAACAGCGCCAGACAGCACGACCCTTGGTGTTGGGCGGTTAACCCAAGGAGACATTTTATCAAAAACTTCACCAGTGATGAGCCTAGCGACCAACAAAGCCCCATCACAACCGACCAAAAAGAACCCATGATATCCCACCAGAGTGACCGCTATATTCTGCCGGCTGGTTCGGCGCCGCGTACCTTGAGTTCGGGCGGTGACCGCTCCTCAACCAGCGCCCCCAGCTCGTACACGCGCTGGTCGGACGGAAACTCGACCGGCTTCAGATACGAGGGCAGCTCCACCTCCAGCCAGGCCACGTTCTGATCCTGCACCGGGTTGGGGCCTGTCGCCGACAGGAAAAAAACGGGGTGGGGTTTAAACTAGAAAGAGGATGTGTTCATTATACAGATCAGGGATAGAACCAGCATAAAACAGCAAAAAACGTGTTAAATGACAATGCTGCGGCATTAGCTTCCACAATGACGCGATAGTCAACTCATTTCTAGTAAAAAAAAAAATATGAATGACTTTCCTAATGGAGATTAATGATAAGAGCTATATAGTTCACACATGCATTGTCCCTTCTACTCGAATCTCCGGAAACCGCCGTTGTATGTTGACTGTCGGTCCCCCGATACCCCAGTAAAAGCCGCCGTGTGCCGCTCCGTCCTTACCGACTGGCTTCAGGGGACAGAGCTTCTCGTTGGGGTAGTCCCCCTTGGAGACAGGCCAGAGGGTGAGCTTCTTTTTCCCGGAGAGCAGCTGGCGGCGGTAGTCGAACAGTGCCAGGTTCACCCAGGCCAGCAGAAAGTGCTCCTGGACAGACCACGCCAGAGAGAAAGGCTGAGCGTGAAAAGTCGGCGCACAGCCGCCAACATAATAGCAACCGACAATGACAATTGATGTTAAATTTTGCACGGGAACCATAAGAAATTGCGACATACGTTTATATTTTTTAAAACAAATAACATAAAAATGCCAAGTTTCAGTTAGGTAACAGAAATAGAACAAAGACGCCCTGACCACAACCCCCTCAATTTCCAATGCGCACTTGAGCCGTAGCCCAGGACCACCACTTGACCAGATTAAACACCTCACGCGCTAAGTTCCGCCCCCTCATCCCCAAAACCCATAACCCACCTCCTTCTTCTTCCGTTTTGACACGCCGACGACGCCCATACAGAGTCGGCCGGAGAGCGGCAGGTCCTGGACGAGAGTCTCGAACTCGATGGTTTTGTTCCAGCGCGGCACCTGGTCGCCGCTAACCGGTTGCGTCTCCTCGAGCTGACAGAGAGCCGTGGCTCCCAGGTACAGGCCGACCTTCACGTAAAACTGCGGGGAGTAGACGGGTGGGGTGGGGGGGGGGGGTAAGGCAAGTGTAAGAGCCCACGATCGGAAAGGTATGAAGTTCGCAGAATGCAGATGTCATTTGGGAGAGTTTAATTTCTGATAAAACGCATGGCGATTCGGCTAAACGTTAATGCTGATTAACCAGGCGACATTGAAAGTGATTGCCAGAGAAGCATATGGTTCACCAGCGCCCATCAAAAGTCCATAATAGGTATTAAGAAGCAACGGACCATTTTTCATCATCTGTACTACCTGGTGGCGCCATGCCCAACTGTTTCAATAATTCCCCTACAACCTTAAACTCCACACAACGCTGACCGCAAAAAACGAAACCACGTCCCCCGAAGCACCAACTCTCCTGCCCGTCCCTACCCAACCCCCTCCGCTGACTTATCTACTCACCCTGTCCACATGGGACACGTTCAGATACTGCACGCCGCACACAGTCATCCTGAACGGATCGCTGACGGTAAACAGGTCGATCGAGTCGCGCGGCGCACCCGCCTCCTGGCTGGCTCCCGCTCGACGCGCGTACATCGGCTCCAGGTGGCCGCTGACGGGTATGGCCGCAGAGACCGCCTCACGAGACAGCATCACCAGGTAGGGCTTCATGTCCTTGGCGATACACGAGCGGATGTACTGCGGGAGAGAGACCAGGGGGGGGGGGGGGCGTCAGGGGGGACGCTGACGAACTGCAGTTAAGGGCAGAGTAGTGCGGTAAGAGTGAGAGTGGAGGGTCATTACATTTTATTGTGAACAAAAAAAAAACGAATGTTAGAAATAAACTCTACCTATATGTATAACAATCATCACTAGGGATATGCGTGCATATTGCGAATAATAACGTGGGTCGCTCAATACTGTATTCTCCAGGTCGACCTTCGTCTATTTTAAGTCGCTGTACCATCTATCCTGTCGTTATCTTCCAGCCTAATGGCTGCCTCCCTTCACCCACACACGTCATGGACAGACCAGCAAGGTCTAGGACATGAGATGATATGAGGGAAATGAGCTGCGGTAAGGGACCATCTGTTACAGTACATACACCAGCCTGCCACCTCCCAGGGAAATGCGATGCAGTAAGGGACCAACTGTCGCGTCGCGGTACATCCACCGACCTCCCACCGCCCGGCCGGCGACTCCGCTCACCCTGTACTGGAACAGCGGCTTGCTGGCGGTGAAGTACATCTCCTTTCCGGCCACCTTGAGCAGGTATTTGTCGCGCTGCTGTTGCGCAGAGTGGAGGCTCTTGGTATCCGTCATTCGGTACACCTGGTTGTAGGTGCGCTGCCACACCTGACGAAGTCGGGAGGGGGGGGGGGGCGGGGGGGCTTCCATGACAAAATATCGAAACGCAAAATATCGAAGCGCAAAATATCGAACGCAAATTATCGAAAGCAAAATATCGAAGTAGCAAATTATCGAAATTGCAAAATATCGAAATCGCAAAATATCGAATTGCAAAATATCGAAATCGCAAAATATCGAAATCGCAAAATATCGAATCGCAAAATATCGAATGGCAAAATATCGAAATCGCAAAATATCGAATAGCATAATATCGAAAGCAAAATATCGAAACGCAAACCATCGAAACGCAAAATATCGAAACGCAAAATATCGAAAGACAAAATATCGAAAGACAAAATATCGAAAGACAAAATATTGAAAGACAAAATATCGAAAGACAAAATATCGAAAAGGCAAAATATCGAACGCAGAATATCGAAAAGACAAAATATCGAACGCAAAATATCGAACAGACAAAATATCGAACGCAAAATATCGAAAAGGCAATATCCAACGCAGAATATCGAAAAGGCAAAATATCGAACGCAAAATATCGAACAGACAAAATATCGAACGCAAAATATCGAACGCAAAATATCGAGAAGGCTAAATATCGAACGCAAAATATCGAAAAGACAAAATAACGAAAAATAACGAACGCAAAGTGTCGAAAAGGTAAAATATCGACTTGAAATGGCCCTCTGCGGACTCATTAGAGCTCTGTCGAACTCATCGGGCCCTCTGTTATCTGTAGGCCTCAAAGAGCAATCAGCGAGTCCATGACAGACTTGGAAAACTCTGATATTTTTTTTGTAGATCTCAGCAGTGGCGGCGGAAGGTAATTTCGGATGGAGGGTGCAAAGTTTTCTCAAGGGGCCCCTCTGGAAGTTTCGACCCCTCCCTCCCGATATTTTTAGAGTGATTATCATTGCTTTATGAAAAACGAAGATTTTGGAAAACTATCCCCAAACACACAAGTTCTGCAAAATATTTGAAATTACAGTGTACCTATCTCGAATAAAGCATAGGTAACGAAGCAAAGGCAGCTAGTTTTTATCATCTAATCTTGTTTTAGTCTAGCCACCACCCTCAGCATCTCAACCCACTTTTCTGGATCCGCAGTGGACCATTAAGGGCCCTACGAGACCTTTCTTAGAAGACCGTGTTTAAAAGCCCCAGGAATTACAGGAGTCTGCGTGAGCTCTCGGAGACCTTCGTACGGCCCACAAAGGTCGTTCTGAGTGCTCTCTGAATCTGAACTCTTTGCGGAGCCCTTAGAGGCCAGCATGTCCCCTGGCACCTGCCTGTGTTGATTTGAGACCCTCCGAGGCCGTCGTAGGGTTCTTCAGAGGCCAGCGTGGGCTCTTGAAGCCTTCGTTAGGCCCTAGAGGCCGTCAAGAGGACTCTCAGAGACCGTCACAGGGCCATCAGAGGTCAGCATGGCCCCTGACTAGGGTATATTCCATAACACAACTGACTTTGGGGGGGGGGGCTATTTGGAGCCCCCCCCCCCCTCCTATCTCCGAAGCTACTGGACCGATTTTCAAAACTCAAACGTTGTTTGATAGCAGTGGCGGATCCAGGGGAGGGCAAATAGGGCAATTGCCCTCCACAAAGGACATCATTTTTAACATTACGTCTATGGCAGTGCATGAAAAGAAACAATAAATTGTGATGGTTTGCCCCTCCCAAAACTCTGGGTTGGATCCGCCTATGTTTGATAGCCCCGGAAGATCTGTCGAGCGAAACCTAATTTCGACAGAGCTCGACAGAGCTCTAAGGAGTCCGCAGAGGACCATTTCAAGTCGATATTTTACCTTTTCGACGCTTTGCGTTCGTTATTTTGTCATTTCGATATTTTGCGTTCGATATTTTGCCTTTTCGATATTCTGCGTTCGATATTCTGCCTTTTCGGTATTTTGCGTTCGATATTTTGTCTGTTCGATATTTTGCGTTCGATATTTTGTCTTTTCGATATTCTGCGTTCGATATTTTGTCTTTTCGATATTCTGCGTTCCATATTTTGCCTTTTCGATATTTTGCCTTTCGATATTTTGTCTGTTCGATATTTTGCGTTCGATATTTTGTCTTTTCGATATTCTGCGTTCGATATTTTGCCTTTTCGATATTTTGTCATTCGATATTTTGTCTTTCGATGTTTTGTCTTTCGATATTTTGTCTTTCAATATTTTGTCTTTCGATATTTTGCGTTTCGATATTTTGCTTTCGATATTATGCTATTCGATATTTTGCGAGTTCGATATTTTGCAATTCGATATTATGCAATTCGATATTTTGCGATGTCGATATTTTGCGATGTCGATATTTTGCGGTTCGATATTTTGCGATTTCGATATTTTGCGCATTCGATATTTTGCTTTCGATATTCTGCCACTTCGATAATTTGTCTTCGATATTTTGCTATTCGATATTTTGCTTTTCGATATTTTGTCCGGAACCCGGCGGGGGGGGGGGGGGGGGGCTCAGGCGTCGGTAGGCATAGGTAATTCCGACTACAAGGGCCTCATTCGTTTGTTTATTGGGGCTTTAGGGCGGGCCGACTACTAAGGTCCTTTTGCGTTAGTGGTCTCATTTGATTTATCGAGAGGTTGTTTGACGAATATAGTAGTTCTGCGAACTGCACCTTAGCATATCTGTTTGTTGACACCTAATCCTACCCAACATTGTCCAAGCTTGTCAGGTCACCAGATAACTGATGAAAAGATAACAACAAATAACTTCAAGATCAGTTTATGTTGAGGTGAACTGTCAAGTGTCAACTGCTGAAATTTTGTTGCAAAATGGATATGTGCCGCCCATTATCAAACCCAATTTACGCGCTGGCAGCAGTAACCACTTGACAACGGAAGGTCACCGAATTACCACTCGGTTCCTCGGTCACTGACCTTAACAATGAGTCCCTCCGGGTACAGGTTGTTATACTCGTCTTTGGTGATGGTGATATCCAGTGTGGGGTTGTCCATGCCCGACACACTGACGGTCATCTCGCCTGTCGAGGAACGACGGCCGGGGTCACTCGGAGGTCAGAGCGGGTCAGAGGTCACTGAGAGGTCAGCGGTCATCCACAGGTCAGATCAGTCGCGGGAGGTTACCAAAACAAGTCACTAATATCACAACACACAATAGCCAATGGAAAGACACTACATAATTTGGTGAAATGTCAGCAGACTGCAGACGACTGCAGTAGACTACAGAGGATCACTAGGCAAAGGTATAACAAAGTAAGATGTGGGTAAATCATTCGTAAATAATGAAAGACATACTACCGTGCATATACTTCATACCATTAAATTTTACATCGTACGAATGATAAATCTCACTTCACCGCCTGCAGCAAAGTCTTCCACAAAAAGTAATATTTATTAGATCTGCCCCTGCCTTCTCCCGCCAATCTCACGGCTTTTGGCGATTTTCTCGTGCAGGTTGGGCGCCAGCTGCGGCGAGCTGTCCAGGTCGGCCGGATGCATAAACTGCAGCCGGGCGTTGGGATTCAGCTCTCGGAAGTCGATGGCCTTCTTGCAGATCCTCAGCATGCTGACGCGAAAGTCGACCACTTCCGGGTCACGCATCTCGTCCAGTTTGCGCACCTGGACGCCGATAGCACCTGCAGAGGAGCCGGCAGCCGGTCACGGTGGCGGCCGGACAGAGAGGGCTGCGGCGGCCGGTGACACTCAGCCGGGGTGTGTGTTTCCAGGGGTGTTACCGCAGTGCGAGGAGGCGCACTGGTCGTGTTAGGGCTGGATCAGGGAGCGGGAGATCGTAATCGAATATCATAGTTTAAAGTGTAAGGCATGTAGCTGTGAAAAGTAGCAATTACGTCTCAAGAAGAAATAGTCAATGATCGAACTGTAAAAGACTGTCACTGCTGAGCTTTATAAAAAATTATCACACTACATAATAATTGTCTGGCACTAGGCAATTAAGAAATTACCACAAATTGGCAATGCAAATCATCCACCAGTCAGCAGTGATAGCATTCTCCCCATCGCAACCACGCGGCGCCGTGCGGCGGCAGGGTCCACTCACTGAGCGACTGGTTGAACATCTCTTCGTCCTTGTTACCGTGCGGCTCGCGAACCTGCAGGTACGGCTCGAGCAGCCGCAGGTCACAAAAACGCCGCGTCTCATCGTAAAAGTCCTCGTGCGCGCCGTCCTGGGTGATGCCCTGGAAGATGTACTGGCTCGGCTCGCCTAGCATGTGCCCAAACGGGTACTCTTGGGCGTTCTTGGCCAGCTTCCACAGGTCATCTGTGGAGCGGCAGAGAGGGATGGGTCATATGGAGGAGGCATTGGTAAATGTAAGCGCCTGGTAGACGCTTGAGTTTTTATTTGTTTTTATTTTAGTGTTTTATGTGTTGTGCCTTTTCGCTTCATTACCGACTTTGTGTCTTTGTTTGTTTGGCGGGCGGGCGCTGCCGCGGCGGCGGCGGCGGCGGCCAGGGAGCCGCCTCGTGATTGGCTGTGGATGCAGGCGCCACGTGATCCACGTGATGACCCCGGCGGTATCACGTGACCGGGCCGACCCGGGGCGCGCGGCTGCCGGGAGCGCGCAGTCTGCATGCCTAGATGTCTTTGTACGAGTGTTCGGAGTGTTGCGCTGTCGTCGTGGGACGCGGAAGGAAGATAACCTCGGTAAGAAAAGATATGCTGACATGTTGCTGACGTTTTGCAGCGTTCACCTGCCTGAATTTATGCTTATGCTCATTTGTATTTGTTTGTCTTTAACTTATTTCCTCGGTTTGATTTGGATTTTAACGTGTATGTTTGTTTGTTATGATTCTTCCAGAAGCCGTTTCGTTCGCCTTAATAAACAAAAAGAGCAACGAGCGCGTTTCCGAGATAAATTTCGGACCTGCGGCGGCAACAGTAAAGGAGGAAAATAAACCGTTCATTTTCGCCCGCTATCATTTTAATAACCTAGAATGCATCTTTCCTATTACAAACCACATTAGCACAACAAATTTCTTGTAACAGTTAGATTCTATACAGTGGATACATACCTTTCAGCTTGAAGAGAGGCTTGTCTCGTCGAGCTACAAGTGGGATCAGGATGCCAGTTGGCATCAAGCAGTAGACAGTACTGCTATCTGGCATAAAACTGTAGCCCCATAGCTCTCCCGACGATGGAGGCATTGTGGCTTTCTATTGGACCAGTTCTCCTGAGGGCAAAACGACTGAGTAAGAGAAAAAAAAAACACCATGTGCCACAATGTCATGTTGTGATAAAGCAAAGCAGCAGTAGCTCTTGTGTGGTATAAATCCATTACATGTGTGAGCAAAACTAAACAAGATACTAGGAGAAAAATCACATGGATATCAAATCAGCAAGTTGCACAATATCAGTGGATGGTCAGGCACTGAGCAAGCATCCAAAAAGATGATTCAAAAATTGCTAGCTGCTGTCCATCGACTGGATGATTCAATGATTGTCAAGGAAAACACATTCCTAACTAAGTGGAAATTGGCTGCATAAGAAGAATTGGGACTACACGGGATGTGAAAGCTGCAACACAGTGTCCCTGTCATTTTCAACTCTAGCTATGATCACCACATTCAAAATCCTCCATTAAAACTGTGCCCCAGGATCAGGAATGAAAAAATGGGTGCAAAGTGACACTGTGTCACAGTGTTCCATTTTTCAGACTTTTTGGTGGCAAATCACACCTGATGGGGAAAATATTTTCATCCCTAAAATATGAATGACTGACTTTACTTCATCTCTGAAAAAGGTTTCATGCATTCGAACAGCCAGTTTACATGTCACTTGACAGTTGATGCACCCACATCCTTTTGTTTCACACCCTGTCAGTGTCAAGATCCCGACATGAAATCCTGGTTTATCAGTTGGCATAAAATTAGCATTACACCATTTTGCAAAAATACTTCAGTTATTTACTTTCTTTTTTCTCATCCTAGGATTTTTTTCTTCATCAGCACACCCAACCAAACTTCAATTTTAGAACATCAACACTGCTGTGTCATGATCAGTTTCCCTTCTTTAACTTGTTTGGTGATAATTTTCCCAACCATAAAAATAATATTATAACCAGTAAAATGCCTTATCATTATAGGGCAACAAACGGAGCGAGCAAGAGGGTGAGCCTTGCACATGCAAAATTGGGGGGTAACTCCAACTGACTTGTGCACGGCACCTTTCTAACCAGTCTCTAGCAATGTGCCAAATTTGAGCGCAATCGGCCTAGCCGTTCTCAAGCTCTGGAAGCAGCATCCTGAGGGCTGTTCAGGTCCCTGCAGCATAGATCTGTGCTGCGTGCGTCATACTTGGGTGACGTCAACCGCCTGGCTCCGCCCACTCTCCGCCGGCACGCCGCGGCCGAGCGTCGCTGCAGCCTATTTCAAACGCGGCGAACCGTTGCGCGGGTGGACTGCCGACTGGTGATTGTCGCTCAAATAACGTTTAAATTGCGTTCAAATGTGGTTAATAGCAATGTGCCACCGAAAAGAGTGATAATGATACCCAAAAAACAACATACAAACCGCTTACAATAAGAAATATCGGACGGTAAACTTTAATCCGCGCCACTTTCGCCTCCTGCAGCACCGAATTTCGTGCTGCAGGAAAACGAAGCATGCTTCAGTAGGTGACGTCACACAGCCGGTGACGCAGTGGTGTGGGCGGGACTAACGGGCGACGAAGTCCTCACTGCGCATGCGTGCTGCAGCATATTTCATTTTGGCTGCGCAGCCGAACAGCCCTCTGCACGTGCGCATGAGCAAAATGGGTCCCAACTGACTTTGATTGATGTTAATACATGATACACAATATGATACATATCACCAGTAGCCATACTGGTTTTTTAAGGATTCAATACTCTTGCAATTTACAACCCATTGTGGCAGCTTATTCCATATATTTACTATTCTTGCCGAAAAGAACATTGACCTTTTCTCGCTCTTAAACCTCCCCTTCGAGTTTCCGGTTGTGTCCACAAGTCAGTAGGCGGAACTATGGTCATGAGTACCCAAATATAGGAACGTTCCCATTTTTGGGAACGGAGTTCCCAAATATGGGAACGGGCGTTCCCATTTATGAGAACGGAAGGCAATTTTTCGGCCGTTCGCCCACTAAAACTCAAAAGTGCATCACGTCTCAAAAAAGTGCACGCTGATTTAAGTATCTACTAAATTTCCATAAAGTTATCTTTAATCTGACCGTGGAACAAGGAAATTGACCGTGGAATGATATTTTTAATGATTTTTTAAAAATGACAGAATGGTGGAAATATGGGTTATACGACATTTAACATGCAATTTTAAGGAAAATGAAGCATTTTTTACATTTTGAGGTCAAGTATAATAATTTTCGCCTGGTTATGAAGTTTCATTCTAGCGACACCAGATGCTGACATATGCAAGCGAACACGCGGACAGTCCCGAGGTAATATTGTTGACTTTTGGTGTCGGGGCGATCGACCGCGTGGAACGTCAGTGATTTTACCGAACTACTGTTGTAAACTCAGTTTCAGTGGTTTAAAATCATTCAGCTGTATTTTATCAGCCCTGAAAGACATATTTTATTTGGATGCTAGCTGTTTAGCGTTGTTTTATAAGCAGCGTCATGAGCGTGGTTTTTGTCTTCGGCGTTTCTAAGCATGATCGTTTGGTGGGAATTTCTCTGATATAGGTCGCTCTGTGTGGCTTATTTATAATTTTTATGCTGATTTCGATCATTCCTCGTGCCCATCCTACCAGGCCTTTTGCCACTTACACTCATTAAGAAAGGAAAAAACTAGATTTTCATTGGGACTAGGTGTTTTGAGGGTGTAACATATTCAGCGTTCCCATTTTTGGATACTTCTTGTGCTCTTCAACTCTCGGTGATTAGCAGACAGGTGCTTGACATGTCTCCACCCTCGGCGCGGACGGTGGATATAGGTATGGAAGACCTTGTTGAACATTGCTGAGCGTTGTGGATTACGTAATCCTGCAGAGGGGGGCGTGCCCGCTGCGAGATCGACGGGAATAAAAGCGCAGAAGACCGGGCGAAACATGCAACGGTCTTGCCGGAAAGGTCATCTGATGATTGTTGCGTTAATAATAATTTGCGGCGTTGGACGTGATGCTTGTTAATGAAAAGAGCCCCTGAAAGGCGTCGGTGAAATCGTTCCCAATTTTGGGTACGCCGTTCCCATAATAAGGAACGCTTGCAGCGCCAGTGTACGAGAGCGTTCCCAAATTTGGGCTCGCGGCCCGGGTGATGGACTGCTTTAGAAATAGGGGAACGATTTGTAACTACGATGGGCCTTACAATATCAAACTCTTTCCCAACAATATTGAGACAACTATCAGGCGGTTCACGATCGTTTTATATTTTTTGGACGTCATTTAACGGTTCTTTTTTTTGTTTTAAATAATGCCTACATGGCGTTCCCATATTTGGGTCTATCGTTCCCAAACATGGGAACGAAAATGCGTTCCCGAAAATGGGTACGCTTGACCATAGTTCCGCCTACTGAAGTCCTGTGTCTGTGTGCCAATGTCTGAACTCTGAAGCTCAATGAAATAACTGATATAGGTAAGTAGAATTGTCAATTGATAAATTTAAAAAACTATTAACTTAGAAAAGGAGCAGTGTTTACCGAGAAAGCAGCCTCAAACGTTCAAGTCTTGCAAAACAACTCAGATTCGGCAGGACTAAAAAATGATCACAGCTTGCAAACAACTCGTATCCATCTCCATCAATAAGTTGGGGCCTGTTCCAGCGCCTCCAGAAACCTCCAGAAAGCTCCAGAAAGCTCTAGAATCCTCCAGAGAGCGTTCCAGCGCCTCCAGAAAGCTCCAGAAAGCTCTCGCCAAAGCTCCAGAAACCTCCAGTAGCCTCCAGAGAGTTGAGAGGTCCAAATTTCTCTGGAGGCTCTGGTCTACAATTATGGTGCACATGTGACAATCGCGAATGTAAGCAAAGGACTTTTGACTGATTATTTTACAACTTGAATGTAAAGAAAATAACATTGCTATAATTTTGTTAATCTTTCTTAATAAAATTGAAAATAAATTTTGTGTTTCAAGAGAGAACAATCGTCATTCTTTTGGTATATGTGATGCCAATCTCCAGAAATCTCCAGATTGCGTTCCAGCGCCTCCAGTGAAACCTCTGGTAGAGCCTCCAGTCAAGAATTTCTACTGGAGGCGCTGGAACAGGCCCTTGGTTTTAAAGTTTCACCAAACAAACTCTATAGATGGTCTTGGAACAAACTGGAAAACGCACTTCACTTGTATTCTTATACGCAAGATACGCACTAATTAAAATTGAATGCGAAAATGTAAAAAGGTGAAAAGTGAAAAATGGTGCAAGTCGTTTTTAAGGTCTGCCAAATTGATTGCTTCCTAGCCATAAAATATGGAAGCAATAAAACTAATGACGTAAAATGGTTCAAAGTATATAAAATGCGACCACTAAATAATAAAAACGGTTAAAAATAATTGCTCAAAGGCAACAACTGTTAAAAACAACAACAATTCCCTTTTATAAGAAATTTTGTCCAAATGGATGAATGGGTGGCTATAGGCCCGGGTGCCCCATAGCCACCCATTCTCTTTCCATTTTATATTGAGAGGGGGGAAGAATATATCAGTTTTCTGTGAAACATTAGTAGCCGGCATGTTTAGTGTCAAACTCAATACATTTAGATCTAATTTTTGTCTGTTTATCATCACATTTCAATTTACCACTTTTCACCTTCAGGTCCGTGAGGGCGAAGTAGTGAAAAAAGATCTCCTTCAAGCATGGGGACAGGAGAAATCTTGAATTGAAACCACATAAGTAATGAATGCTTATCTGTCGAAGACGTGGTACTCATTCGCGCTGCGAGTAATCACTGGTTCGCCACGCTTCAACCCCCTCCATATAGGTGCGCGGCCACCGCTGGTGTTGTGTTGTTGGACCTGAGGAGGGGTGTAGTGTTGAGCCTCAAGCTCCACATCACTTAATGGCTGCGCTGCAGCTCCCTGTGTTGTGACCTGAGGAGGGGTGTAGTGTTGGACCTCAACGGTGACTCAGTGTGTTGCCTCCCTCAGGTGTGTTGGCCTCTCAGCAACGGGCTGTGAATAAACAAGCTAGGGCAGACGACTTCTTTACAAATGCTAATGGGCTAAGCCTATTAGCATTCATTACTTACCTGGTTTCAATAAACCCAATTATAATTATTGGGTTTTATTTACCCTTTCCCCAAGATTTAGGAGAGGGGGCTGATACTGATTATCATTTATCACTAACTGGTCATCCTTTGCACACAAGTTGAACTTAACTGTTTATTAATAACGGATCTACTCCCGTTCTATCTAAGTTATACCTACCTATGCATAGATAGCTAAGTGCAGGGCATCGTTCGAAGAGGTCTTAGGCGTTCCGTTTTTTTCACCGGTCAAATTTGAAATATTGGGAGAAAAGGCCTTGTTGCCACCCCGGGCCCTTTCAACGACTTGTGCATGTCAACCTAACCTAAAGTAACCGTCCCACCAGCCCTGCTGCTAACCAGCTGGTCAGAGAGTCAGAGACCAATGATGCCCAGCAATCAAGCTAATACTTTTCCATAAAATAAGCAATATGAAAACCAGTAAAAAATGCATACAAATAAAAAGCCAACACTTTCAATAAACGAAGTGCTGCAATCGGTAACAGGTTTATTTGTCGACTGATTAGTGGTGGAAGATAACAGCTGCTAGCCCGGCACACACCTGATGACGCCAGTCCTCAATAAATAAAACAGCAGACCGCCGCCTCAGGCACGGCGACCCACCACGCCGCTTACATGACTCCATACAAAATTACAAATAAAGTGCACATCCTGTAAGGCCTTGGTGACGTCCATCGCCACCGCCACCTCGCCGACATACTGAGAGTCACAAGTACAGCGTCCTCCGCCACAGTCGACTATAGTACAAACACGAGCTACAACCACTACGGATATCCTAGCCGGGCAGCAAAGACGGCAGTCGGTGCGCTCACGCATGCGCACCATCAACACGCGCACACGGTCGGATCCGTCGCCGCGCCGCCGCCGCCGCAGGCACGTAAGCTCCGAACACAGCACCAGCTCAACACGCGCGCACGATAAATGCAAAATGAATCACAAATAACAATAGCGCCCACCGTTCGCACACTCACCCGGCCGGAGTCTACTCTGGCGGCCGCCGGCGGAATCGTATCACAAGTAACAAAGGGGCACGACACGTGCACCGCCTATCGCCGGCCGCTCAGCTGAGTGCCGTCGTTACGACGCGGCGGCGGCGGCGGCGGCCGCTTCTTCAGCGCTGAGCGCGGAGAGTCATAGAGCGGCTGGGCGGGCGCTGCGCCGGTCGGCGAGCCGACCTCGTCCGGCGCGCCGCCGTAGTGCTGCGCCAGCCACTGGCCCACGTGTTGCTCTTTGCCGGCGTCCATGGCGCCGAACGGGTCGCGGAAGCCGAGCACCTCGTGCGGCGACTTGAGGTCGACCTTACACTTTTCGGCCACGGTCCACTTTTTGTGCATGACGCGCTGCAGGTCGCGCAGGAAGTCGCGCGGCGGGCCGACGCTGCACTGCGGCGAGTCCAGTCGGTTGGGCGGCGCCAGCTGCGCCGGCCCAGTGGACAGGCGCGTGGTCTCGCTGCGTTTGGGCGGCGGAGGCGGCGGCCGGCCGCGCGCGTAGATCGGCTGGGGGGCCGGCGCCGGCGCCTCCAACACCACGGGCGAGTCGGCGAACGAGATCTTCTTGGCCCGCTTGCCGCCAGTGCTGTAGATGGGCTCGATGTTGGGCATGGGCGGCGGCAGGGCGGGCGCCATCGGCTCGTGAGCCGGGGGCGGCGGCGGCGGCGGAGGGGACTCACGCAGCGGAGAGCCCATGGCGGCAGCGTAGGCGGGCGGCGCCGGGGCGGCCGGCGGTCGCGGCGGCAGGGCAGTGACGCGCGGCGGCTCCAGCTCGTGTGGGCTCGGCGGCGGCGGCAGCGACGAGACAGACGTCATCGAGGACATCATGAGCTCCTCGGGCGGCGGCGGCAGCGAGGCCAGGCTGAGCATGCTGCCGCTCATCTCGGGCGGCGGCGGCAGGCTCTCCGAGTCGCTGTCGAGGTCGGCCGTCGGCGGCGGCGGCAGCGGCGGCGGCTCGACGCGCGCGCGCACCGTGTCAGCGCTGCGCACGCTGTCGGCGCGCGAGTCGGCGCTGCGGCTGCTGTCGGTGCTGCGCAGACTGTCGGAGCGCGACTCCAGGCTGCGCCCGCTGCCGGTGCTGCGCAGCGTGTCCGTGGCCTGCCGCTCGCGGCGCCGCGTCAGCGTGCCATTCAGCGACTCTGCGTCACCCGTCAGCCGCCGGCCCGGCTGGCGGGTCGGTGTCGTCGGTTTGGAGTCCGGCTGGTCGGTGCTCTCGTCCGCCTTGACCAACAGTCGGGTGGTGGAGGTGAGCGGCAGCTTTGGCGCCATCGACGGCTTCCGCTTGATGGTGCCTTGCGGGTGGTCGCTGTCGAAGGCGTTCTCCGAGGACTTGCTGGAGCTGCTGCCGCTGCAGCGGGAGATGACGCTGTCCTGGCGCCGCATCGGGGAGCGGGCAGAGCCCAGGCTGGAGGAACCTGAGGGGGAGAGGGGAGGGGCGGTCAGTACAGAGCGTCAGCACAGCCTCGGCACCACAGCAGAGCGTAAGAACGAACTCGGCACAAAGCGCAAAAGCGAAATAACGGAAATCAATGCGACAAACGCAGATATAAATCGATACGAATGTCAAGCATCATCAGCTCAGGAACAGCCCAGCCCAGCCTTTCAGTCTGGCCAAACTCATGAGCAGTACCCAACTCACCGTCACTGAGTCGCTCAGCCTGCTCGGCGAGCGCCGCCAGGCTGGCCTCGATGGTGGCGCCATTTTCGCGCGTGGGCGTGCCGGTGGAGGGCGCCACCGAGGCGACGCTGAAGCTGCGCGCGTGCGCCAGCCGGTCGATGTCGTCCTGCGCCAGGTCGTCCATCAGCTGGCGGTAGTTCTCCTGCAGCTGACGACCGTGCTGTCGGCAAAGAGGTCAGCTCAGGTCAGGTGACCCCAAGTCGAATCAGGTCGGAGTGGTGAGGTTGGGGTAAAACTGAAGAGGAGAATAGAGGTTACAGAAAATCATAGATTGAACGTTTCATTGTGTAGACGTAAACATAGAAGAAATAATCTGAGCGGTCATGTACCATTATTGATCTATTGCACAAGACTAATGAAAAATGCCACAACTGCAGTGAACTTTTCAGCGGCCAATGTGGATTCAGGACAGTGTTACCGGCCGGAAACCTATGTACTGCAGCAGTCTGACCCGACGCATGAACCCAATACACGGACACCACTCGCCCAAAGCCGCCGCCCGGTCGCGGACCAGTGCCCGGAATCTGGAACCCTGGCTGATGCAAGGGCGAGCGTGATGTAACGCAGCCCTATCGGAGCTCATAACAAAATCCCGGAATCACAAATATACACGGGTCCGCTGCAGGGCCGAATAGGTCCGGACAAATACGGATCTCTGCCGCTCTGGCTGTGCAGAGACGGACCTCAGTGCTCTCTACAGACCCTCAGAGACCCGGGACCGGCAGCAGTGAGCTCAGGGCGCTCGTCGACCCCTGAGTGCCCCAGTGACGTACCTTGGCCACCCGAATGGCCATCATCCACTGATGAAGGGTGCGCGCGTCGTCAGCACATAGGTAGCGCGTGTGCTTGGGCGCCTTCACTTGAATCTGCGGGTGCTTGATGGCAAAACAGAAGTCGGACGGGGCCTTGTATTTCTTCTTCCAGCCGACTCCGTAGTACACCTGAGGGCGAGTCATACAGCATGAGTCGACGCTGCGTACCTTCCAGGATGTTTAATCTCGGCTACGGTGACTCATACAGACATGAGCTGGCACCCCTTCCGATGGGGTGTAAGTTTATATAGCACTGGCCAAACGCCGCCGGCCAAAAGTAAACCGCAGCGTAGTTACTTTTGATTGACGTAGTCGATTCGGACCATCGATGGTCACGTAGTAGATTATTGTTGGGAAGCGCCTACGAATAGGCATAGGGGTGCGGTGCAATGGAACACGCATACAATCACCAGCATGATTCTTATGGGATAATACACATATACTATATGCTGGATACAAGCACGTTAACAGTTATCGAGCCCGGTAATGACAAAATCGACAGCGCGCATCAAAATCGGACATACCTGATTGACGTCAAACTTGGCGAGGCAGACGAGGTCCTTGGAGGTCTTGACCTTTCCCTTGGGCGAGTAGTAGATGCCGGACCCGCGCAGTACAAAGTGGTGTCTCTTCCACCCCTTCTTGTCCGTCTTCAGCCACAGTTCGCTCTCGATCTCCGGAATCATGGAGCCAGAAGCCGAGAAAAACTCCTGCCGGAGACGGGGCGCCCACGTGAACAACACAAACCGTTGGAACGGTCTCAGCTACGCCACAAACTTTGTGTGTACGCCGCGCAAACATCGCTCGCTGCCAGCGCCGGCTATCATCATCATCATCGTCGCCATCGCCACCGTCGACTGCGTCGCAAACTCGGCCGTGCCGTTTTTACCATCACATCCGCAAACAGGTCGAGCTGAGAATTTGTCGGCGGCGACGAGCGGCAGAGTTTGCTCAGCGCCCGACGAGAGTGCGTCTGAGACGGCACGAAATGGCAGGGCACACTCTGCACGTGATATTGATCGGGGGACTCTCCCGGCAGACGGGCTGAGTGAAATCGGCCGAGGAGTCTGTCATTCGATGCAAAACACGTCGAACGAGGAGGGGTGTGGATAAAAATCCGCCGATAAGTAGCGACTCTATTGGCTCTGAGAGGAACTTGGCTCATCCATTTCGCATTCACACAGGCTATTTGGCTCGACAAAAGAAAGATTCGGGAAAAGGAGCAGCCATTTCTCCTGGTCGACAAGCTGTAGGAGCAATTTTCGAGCAGCCGAGAAAACGAACTTAGTCATGAATAAGGCACAGGCTGCAACAAACGAGAAGTGTCGGCGGACCAGATGGGGCGATTTAGAGGGGTTCCAGCCGGCTTTACGGCTAGATAAGATGAACATTCGCTGCGTCTGCAAGGCCGACCTTCGATGTGAGGGGAATGGTGTTACGTTTAGGTAGAGTTACTCTGTTGCGCCCATTACCATCTCTCTCCCTCTCTCCCGCTACTCTCGTCAGACTTCTCCCCTCCTGGTCTCGTACCTCTATGAGCTGAGCGCGTCCGTCGTCGTCCAGATGGGCCTGCTGACCGCCGGCCGACGGCAGCAGGTACAGCTCCGGACGGACAAACAGGTCGTACTTGTCGGCACGCTCCTGGAAGCGCAGCTCGTTCTTCGAGTCGCGAGTCCACTGCATCAGGTTGTCCACTAGGTTCTCGTGGTCCTCGTAAACACGCTCTGAAAATGGAGAACAGAGGGCGTGAGATGGCTGGAGCTGGACACATACTTTCGTAAATTAGTAAGACCTCGGATAAGAGAGTAGCTTGCAAGTCGATGCGAAAAACATCGGCCAAGGAAAGGATATTGCGGAGTGGACATAATATGGGAATGAGGCATGGAAGAGGTTAAGCGTCCGTGTCTTGGGAGACACCAGAGTGGCTCTCTAGGCACGGGAGGTCACGGGTCATCCCTGTCGTGACCCGCCCCGTGCCGTGTGAGGTTACCGGCGCTGTCACGGTTCACCGGGCGGGTCACGAGCGTTACCCGGGTCACCTGCGGGGTCCACTCACGGGCGACACCGGATAGGCGGCCGAAAATTACTGACCGTCCCAGGGAGATCAGTTTACGACCCAGCCAGCACGAGCGGCCTCTCCCTCACAAATAACGCAACAAGGCCTGATTGTGTGTGTTGACAAGTCGGATCGCTGGCTCCGATAAACGTTCCTTAATTTGACAGGCCCGCATCAATTTTCTCGCAACTTAAACAGAAACAGAGCCAAGTTGGCGACGGGAGATTATTGCCGTCAGAAACTCCGAGCCAACGCAGTAAACAGGGCCAACGAACGAAACTCTCCCACGAAATAATATTCCAAAAACAGAATTAACATCTCGCCTAGACCCAGAGGGGTTAAAAGCAGACTCCTCGCCTTTGAACAGCCAGCTCGGAGTCTCGCACGGAGCGCTCACTCACCCATGAGCAGCTCGGGCAGGTACTCCGTGATAGCCCAGCGCGGCTCCATGCGCACGTGGTTCTTGTCGGCCAGCATCCTGGTCACGTGTCCGCAGCTCATCTTCTCGTCGACCAGCAGGCTCTTGGTGCTGCCGTCGCCCATGAACGCCTTGATAAACAGCTTCTTGACGTTGGCCTCGCGGATCTTCTCCAGTGCCAGCTTGATCTTCTCGGCCTTGATCCGCGCTGCCTGGTCCGCCTGCAGGTAAAACAGCAAATATGTTGTCAAACGTACAACACTCGACGTCTTTTACCTAACTACCGCTTTTTGCACCCGACAGTAAAATGATAGTAATAGCAAAATGGTCATGGTAAAGTACACAACTACAGGCAGCCCGCGTTTCTCTATTATCTCCTGCCGCCCTCCGACCGCCACAGTTTGTGTGTGTGGTCCAACGGACCGGGCGAGGACGTCCAATCGAACGCCGCCGGTCTGTTATTGTCTGCCGTCAGATCCACTCGGCGTGGCTGTGTCCGCCCGGCAGCCCGGCTCCCCGGCGCCGCCGGGCCGAGCTGCAACGTTCCGCGGCTGCAGCGGCCGGACTGAGCGGAACGCGGGCCACACAAATAGAGCTGATGGCCGAAATGACGCTACCCGCCGCATTCCAGGCGACCCCTCCCTCTCTCCTGGAGGGCCTCTGGCTGCAGAGGGGGCGGGGTGCGCCCGACGGGGAGGCGAACGACCCGCCGACCGAGTCCGGGATGTCGTGACAGGATACAAACGGGAGGCGACAGTGGCGGCCATGAAAGTAAAAAGAGCCATGGAACCGGAGCTAAGAGTGCTATCCATATTCCATGCTGTTGGATTTTGGAGATAAATTGGAAAATATGTCATGGCTGGTGGTGGCTTAAGAAAAATTACTTATACTTTGCAACAAATGTCCGAACACCTTAAGACCAGTGCAAAAAAAAAACATCGCAGTGAAATATAAACTAAGAGATCAGCAATAGGGGTGCTCACTACAGACCTACACAAAGTCCGACAGAATACAGCCATCTCTGTGTTAGCCGCCTGAAGTAAACAGTCCAGTGGGTCACCAGCGGCCACTCCTTTTTTGGCCGAGTTCGGGGTCACATCCACTCTGCCACGGTCGTCGCATCAGACGAGCTCCCGGCGCCAGCTGTGGTCCCATGGCACCGCAGCTGGGCCCGGTTATTATAGGGTCAGGGGCGGGGGCCGGGACAGCAGCGGGGGCGGGGCAGCAGCACACCACCGGCGCGCCCACCGCAGCAGGGGGCGGCGGTGTATCAGCCCGGAGGTCCTGCTGCCTTGTGAGGACGGAGCGACTGTCCAGGGGGCGCCACAGCAGCGGTCCGACGCTGGGGACGGGTCGGTAGAGGCCCCGGGCGGAGGTCGGACGGGAGGCGATATAAACAACGCCGGACCGTTGGCTGGTAACGGCGGCCGCAGCAGCGGCGGCAGGGCCCGGGCAGGGGCGGCGACAGAGGCGACGAGAGCGATCGGGATAAAACCTCCAGCCGCCGTCGGGCTCTAGCCTCCGCCCTACCAGACACGCCCCAGACGGATTGCTTCACCTCAGCCACCTTCTCGACCAGAAATAGCTGCCTGCACGCGCGGCGCCGCGCCGCCGGACTGACCGCAAACTGTCGGCTCTCATCGCCAGCGAAAATAGCCGCCGGCGGCGTGCACGGGCCGACTCCAGATGGGTGCCATTTCCGTGCTGCTGTCACTCAGCAGGCGCACGTGCGCGGAGGAGACGGCTCAGCGGCGCGCGCCGACAGGTAGTGAGGTGTCGGTCGACAGGCACTGTGTTCGACAGGCGGTACTGGTCGGCGGCGGCGCGACCACCGGCGCCTGGGCTGTCACTCGGTGGAGTCTTCACCTCAGGGCGGTGCGATTCACGCTCCTGATGAAGGTTTGGCATCTGTTCCCACCCCAACAAGGGACAGTTCCCCTCAGAGGTCTTCGGAGAGTCCCTGGTCTTTGGGAATTCGCCAGACAAGAAACACCACACCGACTCACTCTAAAGGCGTCGCTGAGAGTGCGCAACTCCCTCACCCCTCTCTATGTACCCCGCTCCGCCCCGCAGTGACCGCCTCTGTCTCCCAGCAGCGCGCTGACATCACCCAGCGACCGGCCACCTCCCGGCTACTCAAGGCCGCGGTGTCCGTCGACTCTGCCAGCCCCCCGTGACCCCGCCCCGGCCATTCATTCGCGCACCGCCTGCAGGGAGCAGCGCCAGCGGCGTCTGCGGCCGCACAGCCCGCTGGCGCCGTCTTTGTCTGACCCGGACGGCGGCCGACGACGCCTCCGGAGTGCACGGTGCACGGCCGTGCGGCGGCGGGCCGGCAGCCAAAGTTGACACAGGACTGACCGCAACGGCGAACGCTGCCAACCCCTCCGAGGGAACGAGAGTGTAGAGCCGAATACATCCTCTTGAAACGGCCTTTCCGAAGCTAATTCACGGCATGATGTCCGAGCTCGACTGGATTTAGCGGTATATGGATTCACGTCGTTCATTGGTCATCGAAATCACTATAGTTATGGACTGGTATATTTTGCAACAGTGCCACTCCGACGTAGAATGTCGGCACCGACAGCCTCCGGTCCGTGGCTGTCCAGCCGCCGTCATCCCTGACACGGTTCATCGCCGCTGTTTCCCGGGCGGGTTAAACATCCACAAAACGAGCGCGTCAGACCGGCAACTTTGACCGGCGTGGCCGGAGCGACGGGCGACAGCGGTGACCGTGGAGCAGTCGTGGCTAAAGCAGTTTCCAGACACTCGCCACTGTCAGTCCACACGTCACATGGAGGGCGGCAACTCAGCGCAGAATCATAAGCAGAACCATATACGCTATGCGGAGATTACGCAAATATCCTGCGCGGAAACCATGCGGAAAACTTCAGGAAACCGCACGAAATCGCGCGCTTCGTCGAACGGAGGTTCATAAGTCGATTTCTACGAACGCGCCTACACGGTCGGCTGCTCGAGGAGCGAGGTTCGGCGGGCAGCTGTATCGATTTCTGGCGACTTCAGACTCCTAACGATGTCGTCAGACGGGGCCAGAGCGACTGTTTGGAGCGGTCCTGCACCGGCGGCGCCACTCTGACACGGAATTCGGACACATCCGAGCGACCCTTCAAACGGAGCCGTTACCAACGATAACTGCAATCGGCGGAGAGTGCATACCGGGACAAACTCTGACCTTAAAAACGTTCGGCCCGATATCTAATGATAGGTTTACGTGGCAGCCGTTCTAGTCGTGCGCCTCCGCCCAGTGTAAACCCAGCTTTATACGACTTCGCTCTCTAACTGCTCGGGCACGTGCGCAGGCAGTATATCACAGGTGACGAAATCGATTGCCCATGCACCTATCTGTGAACAGAATATTAAAAGCCCGCTACAGTTATCCCCTGCTAAAATGAACTACGAGACCCATCATTTGACCGTTTAACTAGCGCCAATAAATTAGCACCAGCCTTCGCCGCGCTGAACTACACGCTCTGGCGATGATTTAATGCGACACTGACCTGTGAGGTGGGGCTGGCGGCCGAGCCGACTCCGCTCGAGGACTTGGAAACCTCCGTGCGCGCGCCGCTGCCGCCGCTGCCGCCGGAGGAGGCAGACGACTCACTGGACAGCATCGACAGGTTGTCCGAGAAGGCCGAGTCATTGTCGGGGCTCTCTGTGCGCGGACCTGTCGGAGAGAGAACGATCGGGTCAGGTCAGGTCAGGTCAGGGTAACGGGGTAACAAGCGTTAGACGAGGCAAAGAGGGTAGTCAGACCCAACTGATGCTTATCTAACAGGTGTTAAGGTTCCCGAAAGGAAAAGCCAGCGTTTCATGACCGAGCAATGAATAGGCGAGGCTCATCAATGGTAAGTGTAAGCGTAAACAGGCTCGTCTTTCCTATGAAACGACAACTTCATGATTGAGTGAGAGGCACTTATTGAAGCGACTTAATTACGTTTAGAGTCGTCTCTCCACGCGCCGTGAGTCATTCAATCAGTGGACAGACTCTAAACTATTCCTTATGTCACGACAAATGTGAATGTGAGGGCAAGATCCACACGAACAAACCCCTAGCGCCACCCCCAGACTCAAGCTAAGACCTCAGGATCCCAACCCCAGGCCAGCACGCAGGCGCATTGTGTCACACCGCTCACCCTTCTCATGGCGCTGTGACCAGTCCACCTCAGACGAGTAGTTGACCTCGAACTTGGGCCGGGCGCCGCCGCCCATCGTGCCCGGTTTTCGCGGAGGAACGGGGTGCAGTGGTCCGAGGCCGTCCTCTCCCGGCGCTTCTGAGAAAGGAGCTCAGTGTCAACACCAGCCAGCATCACCACTCTCATCACCGGGCACGATATCACAGGGCAATGTGACTTGTGTCAGAGCTGACAAACTGCTATCTGTGTTTGACAAGCTAACATCAATACAATATCGTTATTGGTAACAATGCAAGCTCACGATTTTTGTGGTCATTCGCCATAACAAAGGAGCCACCAAGCGACCGCATCTCACTCACAGCTGAACAGCACAGCCATCTGAACCAAGGCCGTGTATAGGGTTGGACCAGCCGACTTCTGCTGTGCAACTACGACGACCGAATGCATATATAAAAACCAGCCACACACACACTTACACAAATACACCCTGACTCGACTGAGACCAATGACGTAACCACCCAGTACCGCTGAGAAGTAGGCCGCTGGGCGCTGACTCTGAGGTTCACAAACCGGTAGTGTAACCGATGACGTTGTCAACGACAGGGGCTCCGGCCCCACCCGCACGCGGGTCCAGACACCCGTTCACGGGATGTGAGGGGTGACGCGGTGGACATAGGTGATTGCGATATTGGGTTTGATTACGTCACGTCGGTCGCGGCGACCGCGAAACCAATGCGGCAAACTCGGAGCACAAGTGTCGGGGACAGGCGGCGACCGAGTTACGTGGAGAGCTGACGACATATCTGCGGCCGAGGCAGTCATCCGTCATCATACGGCAGATGGTAGCGGCGGCTGCAGCTGTCGGATATCGGATCCCACACATATGTCTGTCACAACATACCCGACACGAGCTTCCGACAACAGTCCGACGCCCACGCACCGGCACCAGCCTAGATTTTGTCAGCGCTGCGCCGGGCCGGCCTCGTTCCCTACCGCACGCCCGCAATCGTCGCCGTGCGCCGCGTCGGCCGCCATCTGTGCCGCATTTGCCGCGCGCCCAGCAAAAACAATCGGTCGCCGGCGTAATCGACGCACAGCAGACAATAGTGGCGCGGGGGTTGGTAATAAGCGGCGCATTGGCTGCCGGTGCTGCTAGTCGGTCCGCCAGATCGGTCGACCAGACATGCAAATTGGCTCGGTCCGTCCGACGGCCTTTTGTTCGCCAACCGAAATAGATTGAAAGCAGGCGGAGGGCTGCGGGCCGACGGGATCCGATGAGAGATAGTCGGCAGCGACGAGCGACGGCCGCGGGTCGGTCGACGACGGATGTCCCGGGGTGCTCTATAACCCTCTGGAAGTCTGCCCGCCGCGCACCGGGAGTGACGCGGCAGCTGAGGATATATCGAGAGACGACCGACACCCGCGAGAAAGCACAGCGATATCGGATTTTGCAGAGGAGCATTAATTCTTGCCCCAGGAGTCAGGTTCAAGATTAGTGGAAGCAAGGGCACAGCCGTGCAGTTTGCACCAAAATAAACGAAAACAGGAGGATAGTGCAGTGTGAAACTACGCCATTTCAGCTCCAGTAATGCTCCGAGCTTCAGTCAACTTATACGGACCGTGGGCAGTTGGAGTTTGGACAGTAGCTATGTTGCCTATAATTCATATAGGAATAGCATAATCAAAATTTCTCAGCCAGCAGTTTCTATGCAATGACTGTGACAAACGAACTAGGACCGTCAATCCACTAACTTACCGACTGACAGGTAAAGTCATTAGCTCATTCACTCACCCAGTCACCCGCAGTAGCTCACTCGCTCACTCACTCACCCGCTCACACCATTCCCCCTCTCTCACCTGGCTTTCGTCCAGGTGCGATTACTGGTTTCCCTTTGATCTCCTTATCGAACTGAGTCTCGAGTGCGCACAGTTCTCCTAGAATGGCGTCCAACTCGACATCCTGAGAGCCTGCAGGCAGATAGAGCCAGAACACAATGTCAAACACAGGTAGAGACGATGTCAGAAGCATACAATGGGAACACGGTGAAGGAATTGGTTCTATAGATGAACGTCTAAAGCAGTGAACACGTTCGGAGAAAAGTTGATCGACGACAGGCGCTCATATCTCGGCTCGACTGCTGTTCCTAGAGCGTGTGACTCTCCCTTCATAAGCAGAGCTGTGGGGACGACGGCAGCCGCCGGGCTCAGCCGGGGCCGCATGGCAACAACGGAGCGCTCGCCCCTCCCGGCGCCCTCTCCCCTCGCCCTCGGCCGGAGCTCTGCAGGCACACTGCCCCGCCCCGCTCCCCCCCCCCTCTCCGGCAGAGCGGCGGTGAGTCGGCGGCGCTGAGTTGGTGAGTAGGGGTGAGTCAGGGGTGTCGTGACCCGCACCCGTCCATCGCACCCCATCAGCTGACCGTTCAGCTCGCAGACCACGAGTTATGGCCCATCAACGCACATAAAGGCAGCGTTAGCCGCGTGACGGGAACATCAGGCGATTAGAAGTGTTCATCAGAACTAACAGAAGGGGGATGGGCAGGGTTGGGGGGTGTTTGTGAAATACGGAAGTGAAGCTGGACATTCTACGATGTGTTTTGATGGGCTGTTGTTAGGTGCCGTAACTGATCAGTCGTCGTTGAACGTTCCCATAGCTCTCTGCAGTGTGTACGGTTGGCTACAACTATCGATTCAGCTCCCTGCAACCAGTCGTGGTTCCCCACGCTGGCCCACACGACGACACTGATCTGTTGCCGTATGTATCCCGTCCAGCGCCCTGTACGCCCTGTTCACAGCTCTGTAAACACGAATCGCCCCGTCTCTACAGCGCAGTCATGACAAACGTCTCTCACTAATGGAGACTACTGCAGCTCAGATATAGTACAACCTTCGGTACCTAGGTAGGTATAGGTATAATGGTGAGGTCACGTGACCTACCGGACCTCATGTTAGCTACTTTATTTCACTTGAACTTTTATACATTACAAGAGACACATCTGCCGGGAACATTTCAAACTACTACACATAAAAGGTCAGCAATCCTGGACGAGTACCTAACACACCATCAAATAATCACCTCCCAAAGAAACAACTCGCACCTCACTCCACGATACTCTGACCGACCATGCCCTCCCCTCCTCCTCCCGCCCACGACAGAAGCCTCCCACATGCATTATGGATCGTCTGTAGTATACAGCGGGCGGACCAGGCCTCGATCGCCGGTCAATGCAGCTCCGAGGCTCATCACACACAGGCAGCACGGTCGATACTGCCCGTGATTCATATTCGTGCCATGATCCAGATCCATTTAATTTACGTTGTGGCATTTGTTACAGATATCCTGCTATCAATCATACCGTATTGGTTGGTAGAAACGCTCAATCATGGTAATTATGTTTGTTTTCTGAATAGATAAACTTATCTGACGTCTCCTCTGATCAAGTGTGAGCATCTTTTTCAATAATTTGTCTTCTCTTTATCCTCACATCGTCATGTTCTCTGGCTTCCTTAGTCTTCCTTTATCTCCTCCCAGCTCCCTCCTCTCCTCCCCTCCCTCTCTCCCCACGTCCTCCCGTCAGCTCACCCTCGAGTACGGCCATGGACAGCCGGTAGGAGTCGGTGCGCGGCGCATGGCTGTACTGCTCGGCGGAACTGGTCGACTCAGGACGTCCACTGCTGCTGGAACACGCCGAGGCAGTGGCTGAGTCCAGGCCCTGAAACACACAGAAAATACACGGTTAGGTCGGACAAGAGACTAGGTATATGGCAAAAAAAGCGATCGGGATGTCACTAAAAGACGACGCATCGGCACGCCACCAATCATACGGTAATGTGAGTAAATCGTCAAGACGGTGAAAAAACTGAATACTCGTAGAAGTCATGCGAAATAAAAACATCGTATTACATTTGAAATGATCAATCTTTCATGATTGCGTCGAACGTCGTGTACTTGCATGCGTCCATTCATGCGTCGGAGGAATCCCTATGGACATTGCGGCACAGCCTACCTACAGGCGTCCACTACTGGCGCCATCTATCGGCTAGAATGTCGGTACGCAATGCGGTGCAGCATACATTCAGGCGTAACAGTTAACGCCATCTAGGGACAGCATTTGCAAACCGTGGCGCATAACAATGAGCTAATTCATGGAGTAGTAAAGTAATCTTGAATTTATGCGCCACAAAGGTCCAATATTGAGACAGATATTACGATTTCGCAAAACACATTCAGCGAACTGTCGCAATGCCTATATCTATCAGATAACAAAGAAGAGGGACTGTTGCAGCAGCAGAAAAGATCATTCTTCACCAGGCCGACCTGCCCACGCTTTTTAGAGCTCGACCGATATAACAGCAGCAGAATGTTGAGATAAGGCAAAAGGCGATTACAGTGTACTGTTGTGGTACCGCTGGACGGCAAAAAGACCATTGGTCACGGCGATTGCAGTTTTTAGAGAGCGCTAGGCAAACACACTTCGCTAAGCTTCTCGAGGGATCATTCAGCATGCACGCTGACACGGAAGCGAAATGGATGGCGAGGACGGGGCTGGCAAAACAAAGCAGAACTCATAAAAGGACCTAGCTACTCTGTGGGGAGATGTCCGCTCCCCTGAACCGCCGCCTATCTCAATTTATATAACTGCACCGACTGTTCTAAGATACTCTCAACTGCGGGCAGCAACATAAATATACAGCGACAGAGCGTCGCCGCTCGGGCGCTGCTGACACAGCTCTCGGGGGAGCGGTCAGCACCTAATTACACCATGCACAGTGCACATTATAGCCCGGCTCAACACAGCACAGCCCGGGGCTGCGGACTTTCCGGCCCGCTCCGTTGGATGTTGAACTCCCAGAGAGACAGCCGGCCAAACTACACTCAATTGTGGACCCGCCGACGTACACCGTCGAGTAAAACTTTCCAACTTTGGTGCCGATCTGTCAGACAGATATTCTCTGGGGAGTCGAGCACTGACGCGCGAACATTGTCAGAGTCCCACCGGTGTGTCAGTTGGATTAATTTCCACCAGCTTGTACCGAGTTCTGTACGCTGTCACCGGCGTTCGGACAGAGAGTGTTTCGCCGTTACTGGACCGCCCTAACCCTCGTCCCCGGGGTACCTCAGCAGCGCGTGCACCCAACCATTCCTGGCGCACGCTCACGATAGGCGTGGTCATTGCGGCGCACCACACGAGTCGATTGTGGCGCAGTCGAGCGCGTTATGCCGGCACACATGCAGTTGGCAGGGGGGATGGTGGTTCAATCGAGCGGCAGGGCCGTGGAGAGCTGCGGTGGTCATGGGCAGCGGGAGATGGGAGGAGGCTTGAGGGAGATGGGTGTCCACACTGCGCCCAGTACCTCCATGACCGTACGGACAGACTCGAGCAAATACAGCCGGGACTGCACGCTTCTGTTCTTAGGACAGTGACGCCAACAATCCTTGCTAATAATTGTCCCTAAAGTAGCAGCAACACTATGCAATTGCAGACATTTTCAAACGAGCCATTCCCTCAAAATTACACCTTGCGTGATTGCGTTGGGGCGCTACGGACGCTATCTGCAACAAAACATCACGAACCCACCTTCGGTCACTCCCGGAACGCCCCCGCCATCGCCTCAGCCGGCCTCCGTGTCACCGTATCACTGCAGTATCACCAAGTGTCACTGTAGTGTCACCGAATGTCACTGTAGTGTCACCGGTGTGTCACTAGCTCCTCTTGTGTCCCCTCCAGGTCACCGGTGCGGTACACGCTCCGTCACCGTCTCCGTCACCGTCCCCTTCGCTCCTTCACGCTCCTGCACCCCGAGCACCCCGGAGCCGTGCTCTCTGCACGCTGCTGTGAGCAGACGGTCACTGAGCGACGCTGACCGCCGGAGATGAGCCGAGCAGAGCACACCACCGCCCGATGGCGCTACTGAGCCTAACCTAACCGCGGGGCGTCACTGCTCCGAGCAGACCCCGCCGCCGGTCCTCCCAAAACAGAGCGGTCCTGTCCGATCCGGCCGGACTCTGGACTGGAGACTATCCAAACAGGGACCATGGCGCCGGCGGGCAGCGAAGGACGGAGGCGGGAGGTGGGAGGTGGGCGGTGGGCGGTGGGCGGTGGGCGGTGGGCGGTGGGCGGACGGCGGCGGCACAGGGATGTTTACAGCCGCCTCAACCGGTCACTTCCTGCTGCCAGCGATCGGCTCGTCCGCTGCATTGGCTGCAGAGCGTACTGGGAGAGCACCATACCGGGCGGCGCCGCCGAACGGCATGCCAGGGTGGGCATTCGCCGCAAATAACCAGTCCCTGGAGACCGTTGGTTGACTGCTGGCCACACAAAACAACAGAGAAGACGCCACAGTGTTTACTGTGACCACCAAATGCCGTGTGCAGCGCTCACTGCAGCGCTGCATCTGCTGCTGGTGGAGCTCGCTTTCCTTGAGCCGCATGCCAGCTTAGATGTTTCCGAGCGATTACATGCCACTCCTCTCGTCTTCCCAGCCCCGTTCATCAGCTCCCTCCCCTCCCCAGCAGAGGCAGTAAGCCGAGGCCCCTAACGGGAAGACGGCAATGATCACAAGCACGGCCATTCTCCCTGCCTGGGGCTCGCCTTAGCGTCTGACCAATGGCGCGGCGCGTTTTCTGCTAACGTTAGCGGTCGCCATCCGGCTGTGAACGGAGGGCTTCCGGCGGCGCGGACTGCCAGTGGAATCCCCCGGCGGAAATTCCGCGTCTCGTACGGCGGGCGGGCCGACCGCTGCCAAAAAACATCGCCCACTGACTCAGCCGGGCCCGACGTCGCCAAAATTCTCCATCAGGTCCGGCGTCGGTTCCGCCAAATCATAGATCGCCCTCGCCCAGCCACGGCTACGCCTAGGAGACTATATAGCTGAACCCATCTCCTCCAACATCTCTCGAGCCGCAGCAACTCCGTCCGTCAGCTCGCCGGATACACAGTTCCAGCTGCGCCAAACACCTGCACCGGCACGTGCGGCCCATTTCAGTGTGCGGCGCCAGCCTCGGCAGAGGGGTGGCCCGCTGCCAGCAGCGCTCGTCGGCAGCTGGTTACATCAACGCGCAACGAAAGACCACGGCAAGGCGCAGAGACCAGGGCACGGCCTGGAGCAGTCTAGAGAGCACAGCACGGTGCGTCTCAGAACGGCAATCGTCGACAAATCGTCCCTCTCGGCTCTCATCATGGCCCGTCCTCTCGACCTCTCGCTATCCCTCGCCGCCGCTCCGTCCTCCCGCCGCCGTCGCCGGCGACGATGACGTGCCGGGGTCATCAAACTCTGTTACGTGGGCCGACGGAGCCGACGGCGAATGAGGGCGGAGCGACGCTGTCGACGAGCCCCGACGGCCGAGAGATGACGGAGGAGGTCACACGGGACCCAGACATGCGACAATTTCCGGTCCGGCAAGTCAACGAGATGAGCCATAGCGGGACGATGAAAGCCAGACGGGCATGAGGATGAGATAACAATAAATAATAATCTACTAAGGCATGAGATACGGAATTCGTCGACAAACTGTGTGCAAATAAATTCGCGATAGCAAAATCGGTGATCAAAAGATACGATAAGATTCTTTTTTAGATTTACATCACGCTGCCGCTGTTTTTATTTCATGCGCCACTTCGCGCAGTATCTAATATATAATAATTAGGTAGGTAAGCAGACATGATTCGACTCGCCCTACCGCTCATCCAGACCGGCAGGCGGTGGACGATTCTGTCCGCGCAAGGGGAGGTGGGCTATTTCGGCACTCTGCACCGTCTCCGACGGAGCCCCGGTGGAGCCGCCCGCCCGCCCGCCGCGGGGCTGGCAGGCCGGGTCGGGCAGATGATCTCCGGTCGTCAGTGTGCTCCTCTGCCTCTGCAGCCGAGGCCGGTGTTTACGGAAGTGACATTGGACGGCGGAGGAGGAGGCGCGGCTGCAGCTCCGTCCGCTGCAGCTCTGGGCGGCAGGCAGCTCGGAGCTGGCTCAGCTCTGTTCTACATCAGTAGATCCGTTATATATCCTCGCGTAGTGCTTTTAGCCATCGAGTATCATGCCGAAGAAAGACAGCAAAAAAATCTCTCTACGACACACAGTATTGTATCCACGATGGATAGCAACACCATCTGACGCCTGAGCTGCTGTCAAGTTGGCGAGCTGCAGTCATAAACTCGCCCCTCCCTCCCTCCTCAGGTAATTAACACTCTGAGAAAGAGCTCGGGGTGGGGCGAGGAGTGAGAGTTTGGGTGTCGAGCGGAGTTCCATGTATCGGACAGACTCGAACCGTCGGCCGATTTACGGCTCAGACTGGCCAGAACCGGTCTATATGTGTGTGACCGAGATTCCACGCCACACCTGGGACTGGTGTATAACGCCAGCTGCTCGATTGAAGACGAACTTGGACAAACATCACCGTTCAGCCAGCAGATGCTGGACTGGAAATACAAGGCCGATGATAGTAATTTCCAAACACATGACGGCTTTATCAGAATGGAGCAAAACAGTTGATGCTAAATGGGACAGACCATTACATACCCTCCAGTCCCCAATCCCGTCATCACAGTGATGCGTGGGCGGTTCCTTTTTCGGTCACATGCCGCTGGGAGCGCTGCCAGGTCGGCCTCCGTCACATTAGGGTCAGCCGCGTCGACGACCGTGTCACTCGGCCGGACGACGATCGGGGACTTCCGACGGCCCCAGATGCATACAGAACACGGAAAGGGAGGAGGGGAAT